AGGACCAGGCCTTTGATGGAAGAAATTTTATTGTTCTATTGCTCTGTTTGGTAACTGAACTACTTGCACAGACCTTTCCTCTCTTTTGTAAAGTAGCAAAAACATAGGTATATGTAGGACTCAGCTATAGTGAAGTGATGGAGAGGTGCCTTGGAGGTATGTCCGATGGGTAAAGGGGAGATGGTAATCTAAATTCCAATATCTTCCCTCTTCCACTGGCAAAACAAACCTCTGACACACCACTCCTCTCCCTCTTTAGGAGAGTTAGATCTTGGCTATCCGTCCTCTCAGATTTATTGTGATAATAGATATAATCAATAAATAATAACAGCTAACAGGGTGTGGTGTTTCTAGAAAATAGCAAAAAAAATTAGTCTGCTATAATAAGTCTGCTTCCCACTAGTGACAGTATACAAATAATTATAATGTCAATAATATTGATATGATATCGCTAATAGTAATAAAATGGGGGCTGAGCTTTTCATTTCAAGTAGAAAGATCTTCAAAAGGTTCGACACACTCCTCAGCTCAGTGAAGGAAGATGATAGCTTGCAAGCAGTTTCATGAGTGTGAGTGTGTATGTATGTATGTCTGTATGTATGCGTTTCGAACTTCTGTCATGCATGTAGAGGTTTTGGAGTAGATGTCCTCTTACAACATTATGTAACTGTACACAGTTCTGTTGCGTGTAATTTTCAGTACAAGCTTTTGTGCGAGTTTCAGCAGATGTGAACGTATGTGTTTGTACGGGTGGATGTGTTGAGAGTGGTGTATGCATGCACAGTTGCTATATCAGCCTTGATCAGTTCCATGGGGATTTCAAGTATATGAGCATCATTCCTGGACAAGCTGTTACAACCTCTGTAGATCAGCAAGTAGAAAAATTATATGAAGTTCTTCCTTCGTCAGTCATAACTTAGCAAGTCGATAGCTTAACTACATGTTATTTTGGATGGAGCTTGTTGATATGTGATCTTTTATTAACTAGGACTATGGTGGCTTGGTGACTTAAAATCAGTGGCAACTGAGGACTGACTCTACATTTTGCAATGTTGTGTACAAAGAACATGTTTCATAGTTTGGTTTGTAGAAGTTGGTGGAATAATTGTTTGGAGGATCAAACAAGGAACTGGAAACAAAACTTTGTTAAAATGTCTGTGCACTTCCAGTACTCTTGTCAATTATCTTATTGTCTCTTCCAGTAAAGAAAATAAGTCAACTTCATGTTTAGTGGCCTTCTCCTCCCCAGTGCCCCCTGGTGTCCACCAAAGACACTCCATTCACTTGACTGAAATCTGAGAGAGAGAGATAGTATAAAATAAACAATGGTTGGGAGAGAGAGAGGGAGAAAAAGAGAGAGAGAGAGTAAGAGGGAAGAGGAGCAATGTGTGTGAGATGTTGCCAGTAGAGCTTCCATTATAAAGTCAGAAAATAATGCTCTAAGAGAGGTGCAGCACAGCAGCTGGTGAATGGAGTTTTCAGGCGGTCATGATCTTAAGAAGCCTGTTACGTGCAAGCAGAGGGTCTGTTGGCTAGTCAACTCTCTTTCTCCATGTCTCCTCCGCAGTGCACGGAACATCAAGAAATGACGTCAGCCACTACTGACGCCCGCACAGGGTCTGAGCTGTAATGCTCTGGACAAAATGCTCACTGAGCTGGAGTGGTCTGAACACTCCTTAGGAATTTCCTGTTTTTGTATCTTTTTAAACAATATTATTTGTTTATTTTACATATTTTTCCCTTTTGATAGAGAGACAAGGATTGTGCTTGAAGATGGTCTTTCAAGTACACATGAATATGAATGTAATTTTAGTCATGAGGTTAAAAAAAGAACAGTATGGTAGATGAATTCTGTTTTCTGACTTGAAAAATAACATGTAATAACGAACCGCTATGAGGTATTCACATATATACAGTAGTCTTAGAAACATGTCTAGGAACTTGGATTCAATATAATCATAACGCATGAAAAACACTTGCTTCTTCAGTATCCTCTGGTATTGACATAACAATCTTCACTTTCTTTCTCATATGTGGTTCTCTTCAGTTTTGATTTTCTCTGCTGGTATGCTTGAAATACTATCTGCTGTCAAGCCAACTTTTTTGGACAAGTCTTTTTGTGCAGTCATTTTCAACATGAAACCAAAAAGAGGAGCCCCTTGCTGGTTCATTTTTTTTTTCAATCACAGCATAAGCTGTCCGATTACAAAAGCCCCATGCCCACCCCTCCCTCCATGCCTTTTCCCTTCCCCTTCCCATTTCCAAACATTTTATCCTCTTCCTTTGAAGTGAGCGTGTTTGAAACTGTGCAATGATGCCGCAGCACTGTTCCTTTCCAGAGGGTAAAAACAATGCTAAGATTTGTTGCTTTATTCGGGTGTAGGTACAAGCCTTTCATGTATTGCGTGTGTGTGTGTGTGTGTGTGTGTGTGTGTGTTGGGGGGTGTGGGTGTGTGCCTGCTTGTGAGGAAAAGGAAAACCAAAACAAGTACCGTATCCCTTGTGGCTTGCCACCAAACCAATGCTTGGTTTTGGACCCCTATCAGCCTTATTTTTATTTTCCCATTGCACACTTTATTCACAAGCAATTCAAACATAGATTCAAAAATTAGGTTACTTGTCTATACCTGTGGCTGACTAGAAGGAAATGTGGATGTCACACATGTCTAAATCTAATTTAACTCCACCAAAGTCAGTGATATTTCATTTAAAAAAATATCATAAATCATTCACCAGGTCTGGAGATTGGAAATCTGGTCAAGGCAGATTTTGAGTTTAAGACTGGTTTAAGAATTATTTAAGAATAATCTTCCAAAACAATTCAAGTCTAGTTATTAGAATCACCCAAATAGCACTCAAATTCTAAATCCCTGTTTAGGTTTGTGTTAAAAAGAATCACAATTCAACTAGCAGACATTACTGTATACAAAAATCTTAAAATAAGCTATTAAAACACACAAAAATCCTAATTTAAAATCAAGCACCTTACCAAATTTGTGATTACCAAATCAGAATTTTAATTCCGTGTAATAGTTTTGTTGAAACTACATAATGTCCGTGTCATGTCACCGGGAACTTATTCCTGTCATCTGCAGGCAGTAACAGACATTGAAAATGGAAGCACAGGTTTTGTTTGCTTGAAACCTGCCACCAGAGTTTGATTACTGTCTGGGAAACACTCCAAAATATGGTCACTGCACAGCATCTAGGTGGGGGGTCATTCAGAAAGCATTTGTAAAATAAGTAAGAGACAAAGTAAAGGAAAAAAAACAAAAACATTTAAAAACACATGTAGGCAGACGCTTCAACATATGAAGGGTCACACGCACAACACAGTTTGTTTTGAGCTGTTTTTGATCAGTAAATAATAAACCACAACCCACCTAGAAACAACCAGCAGTGAGACCCCACTGGAAAGATCAATCTTCAGTCAGAGTGACTAAAATTTAGTAGTTACATGTGTTCTACAGTTGGTCATAGTTGTAGGCATGTGACTGATTTGTCTGGTATTGTGAAAATGTAAAGTTACAATTGTGCCATTGTTTTAGGGGTACACATATTTGGCCATATTTCCTGAAATATTTGAAAAGTTTAGTTGTTTCTTGTTGACTTTGTGACCATCTGATACAAAGGTCTGTTAACACAATTGCCGAATCAAGCCTGCAATCTATATTTTGTCCATTTTCTTTATTTCTATGCTCTAGTTCTCCTGTCTCCCTCTGTCCATGCTACAACCATACAAATAAAGTATTAACCTGATGACCTACAAAAGTTTTGAATCTGTTTCATCACTGATAAGAAGTAAAAAAAAACACTGCATGGGATTGTCATTCGTAATTAACTGAACTCCAGGAAAAAGATATGAAATTAATATTTCCAAATCGGCTGATGCTAAAAAGATCACATATATTTTCTAATACTTTGTGAAATCTGCACAATTTTAAAAATACAAATGCTACAATTTCTGAACAGACTAGGCTATATATTACAGAAAATGACCTAGATGTGACTCAATAAAGAAATCAGGGAGTCTGCTGATGCAGCTGGTAAATCAGTACTTTTTTGTACATTTCTGTTAGACAAAAATGTATGTCCATCATCATAAGCAGAATGTCTAGCCAGTAAGCATATCATTTTGTCTTTGACACTGTTTCTGTTATGAACCTTCTTTCTGACAAAAATATAGGACATAGCGAAGAAATGCAATGGAAGTGCTTAAGAAACGAATAATTCACAGTAACAGCAGTGTAGCTGACACCTCCATCAAACAGTGACAACCTCTGAGTTTGTAACCACACCTACGATACGCACATGCAGCCTACGCCATGTGTCCAAGCATGCAAGGTTTCACTGGAATGGACAAACAAGCATTAATCACCTCTCAAAGGTCATCCGCCTAGCAAACACAGACTAACGAGACTACAGCAGTGATGGGTACAGTTCAACGCTTTCAATAGCCTACTGGTCTGAACATAAATTTGCTTCTGCATTTGACCCTTTCTTAAACACTCCACATGTTTGAGAATGTTCTTTCCTGATGCTAGAAAACCGGCATTGCGATCTTATTTTATTGGACAGCAATCTGTGTCTGACATCTACTGTACCTGCCTTACATTTAGTCATTTAGTCACTATTATCATAGTAGTGGTGATTTTATCAGCTTATAATTACCTTAACAGTATAGATCAAAGGTGAATTAAAAAGCACAAATGTTCAACAATAACTGAACGTACAGAGAAACATACTGCCACAAGTCACATACAGAAGCACCTCACACATATATGGATGGTGTAATTGAATTTAGACCATTAGTGCAATGATAGGTAATAACACTGTCATTTCAGTCATGATAATCAGCTTTTACTATAAGAATACTTATTAGGTTTCTTATGGATATATTTATTCAGCAAGGACCAAAAGATCACACACTCACACTGTTCCACTAAAACAAACATCTCTGCATGCATGATCGATATTTGACTAGCACTGTTAAGTCACCATTTCTGGTCTTTCGTCTTTCAGGGTCAGCGGTGCAACAGCACTCACTTACTCCACAGATAGCTACAGTTAGACAGCAGTCACCTAAACCCAAACCTTTTGGCTTAAAAAGTCTGCTTGTGGTTTAATCTGATTAAACAGCAAAGCCGTCCCTTCTTCGTAAGACCAGGCTTACTCTTCTGCCATCTCTAGGCCAACGAAAGAATGGACTATCTAACGAAAGTGGTTGTTTTGTTCTTGTTCCACCTATACTTTGGTTGGCTTAGCTCGATTTCAGCAAGTACAGTAAGTACAAATGTACATTTTTCTAAATTAGAATTTTAAAAAGATGCATGTAGAAGTGAAAAATGTCAGTTAACAGGCAATTTAAAAAAAACTTTAAATATGTACACCTTATTTTCTGAAAGCTTAAACTTTAAAATATGGCTCAATAATTCAACTTCACTAATATACTTTAAGAAATATTTTTGTATTACTTAGTTAGAACCAACTGCACTGAACTTACATCTTTGATTATCATAAAAACAAAAACTGTTCATATAATTGCTGTCTACAACAGCTGAAATCACTTTTTCTTCAACAAGAAGTACCAGACTGAGTAAACTAGCACAGAAAATAATAACAACACATTATGGGAAACAACTGCACTTGCATAGCCATACCTGTATATAAGTTAATTTTCCTAGGTGAGAACATTTTAAATTCTCCTCTAAAACTTGCACCACTGTGGTTTCTTTAGCATGTAAGCATGTAAGATTAAACAACTGCATTAGAGCAGTCATGGTGCAACTCAAAGAGAGTCTGCATAGTCAGACAGTTCTGGTTACACATTGCAAAAGCTTATGTAGAGCACGGCAGGGGAACTAACCTCGATCATCTACACACTGGAAACAAAGTGTGTTTCATATCAACCTGCTATAAAACTAAAACACAATTGAGCAATGGGAATGAAGCTTGAATGCACCATGCACACTAAGCTCAAAGTCTGTACTGGAAATCTACACAAGTGATGATACTATGTGATTTTCTTTGGAAATAAGATATCTGGAGGGGAGGTCATCAACCTTGGCCACAGACCACCTTCCTGGGCACCAATAATGCAAACAAGTGCAAATCTCTCTGATGTTACAAGGTCAGTCTCTAGTAATCATACAAGAAAGCACAGTTTTATACAGTCATATTTGTGTTTCCACAGCTCCCTGTTTTGTCACAGTTTCAAGGTTATTTTTTCTTTAATTTTATCACTGAATAGTCTGCAAATTTCCAGTGAAACTGTTGCTTACTTTAGTATGTAAAACTTACTTACCATATGTTACTTGCTCTCCAGCATCAGGTCCTTTTTTGAGTTCCGTACGCTTGATCCGGAGGGTGCCATATTCTACGGAGATACCAAGGAGGGTCGAGACTGGTTTGTGCTTTCATTACGTGATGGGATACCTGAAATGCAGATAGGGAAAGCAAATATCCTGGTCAGTGTGAAGGGAGGACCAAAACTGAATGATGGGGCCTGGTACAAAGTACGTTTTTAAAAAAATAATTATTTTCATTAACCTTCGTTGCTGCAAAAAACCTTTGTTGCCTTGCTTAAGCCATGTTCTAAAGAATCATTCTAAAAGCAATATACAGGCTCTTCCAGAATAACAGGAACTCCAGTAAAGATTGAAATGAAAACATTGTTGTTTACTAGTTTGATTACAAAACTACTGAAGAAGTAATAATCTAATTGGGATAAAATTTTCAAAGAAAAATAAATCCATTAAAAAAAATAAAAATTCCTAATTTTAAAAAATTAATTAAAAATTCCTGATGTTACACTTACCAGCAGCACTAGAAACAGTTTAATGGAAGTATCTCTACATTTATATTTTAATAAGCTTTAAAGAATTCCTAACATTCCAAAAGGCTGTTGAATTTCATAAACTGGCCAAAGACCATTAAAAACACATCCTACAATGGCTATCAGGGTAAAAATTATTAGGTTTTAAACATGATATGATGTGATGTGGCAAATCTGCCGGAAATGTATGCTACTGCAGGCTGCTCCAGCCCAAAGTCAAAAGAATGCATCAAAATGCAAAACATTCACTAAGGATTACAGTTACAGAAATGTAGATATTGTTTGATTAATTGTTATCTGCCAACAGCTTATTTGTATGGCTTAGCAGAAAAAGCACATATTCTTTTTGAACCGCAAGTCTGCAAAATGGCCAAAATCTTTAAACGGAAAAAAGTGGTTGGATGAGACCAACATAGAGATTTTAGCCTCAAACAAAAAGGTACATGTGGAATTAAAAATATGGTCATGCAGAAAGGAATTTTCCACCGTACGAAGCAGGCAGTAGATTTGTGGAGTTATGAGGCTGTTCTGCTTATATACACCCTCAGACTATACATGGACTATGAGACGTTTTGGGACATTTTAAAGCAAAATCTCTTTCTCTAATGACGAGTTAAATTTATTTTTTAAATCTTTCAGTAGGCATAACATTTCCACACAGAAGTGAATGACACAATACAGAATCAAACTGGGGAAATTTCCCAGTCTCAAGACCACAATCCTACAGAAAAGCTGTAAGATGAACTGTGGAGGACAGTCCAAAAGTACAAAGGACCAAGGATTATTTCTATGCATTTTCCCACCTCCTCAAACGTTTAGGGGAACTTTCAGTGCTGTTATCTGGAATAGGCAAAGTGTACAAATTTAGAGGTATGAATAATTGTCACAAAAGTTTTATGTTAAAGAATTATATATAAGGGCATCATGATGAAATTACATCATTGTTTAATAACGGAAAACATCTAAATATAATAAAGTAAATTGTCTGTTTTTACTGATAAATATTGAGTTGTACAATTACACAATTATTCTGGGGGACACTTGTTAAATAAAGCTTTCAGTTAAGTTACATTTATATAACAATATGCATAACAATAACCATCGCAATAATAATATGCAAAAAATCTCACCTTCAGTATAACAAAGTGGTCAGCATCTTCAGCATTCTAATGTTTTGGGGTTTTTTTCCTTCACTGCGATGGTATTTGGCAGTTGGAGTTGCGTAGTGAGGGCAAGTATGTGGTTCTGGAAGTGAACAACAAAGTGGAGCTGGCAGTTGGTCTTGAGTCGGCGGAGACAGATGATGTTCTAACAGGAATAATACGGCTGGGTCTTGGAGGGATGCTGGTGGACCCAAAGAGGCTACTGCATCCAGTATGTTGCAGTTCTGACGTTTACTACTCTTTTACACTCTCCTTACTAATCTGTCTGAAGACTGAAGTTCTGTACTTCTGCAAGGTTCTTCTCTTTCCGAAGGCTGAAACCTTAATGTATCACTTACTCTTTCTCTTTCAGTTTAAGCCACAGATGGATGGATGTGTAAGGGGAGGGATGTGGCTAAACCTCAGTACTCTCTGGGAAACAGATCCAAGCTGGGAGCTACGGCCTTGCTTCCCTGAGATCAAGAAAGGCAGCTACTTCCCTGGGAGCGGATTAGCTGTGTTCAATACGTCTGGTGGGTGAAAACAGCTCTTTAATGTTGCTGTATGGGCACAAGGAGAAACAAGACACATATTTCAAATTAAAGTCATTGTGTCTACACTGACTTTATTTTAGCATTTTCATGGCAATTATTTCCAAATCACTGGATTTTCCAACAAACATATTTCTTCAGAAATGTTAATGTGACTCGCTTGTCTCTGCATCAACTTTAACGTCCTTTCTCAGAGTTACAGCAAATTAAATGACTGGTCATCAGCTTGTTTTTCTAAACGCACAAAGTATACCCTTAATCAAACAATCAAAAAGTACATGTACGTTCTGGGAGACATAACAAAGAAAACTGGAAACCACCCCAACATCAAGAGCCTGCAGGTACAAAAGTGGTAGTTTTATAACAACTGCACCTTTTTGACGTTAAGGAAATAATCATACACTTATATTCTAAACCAGAGGTTCCCCTGGGAACCCAGGCTCTACACACTTGACACAGCACATGAGGAGCTTGTTAATTAGTCAAATCATCAATTAGTTGATTCATGTGTGAGATGAGAAAAATGAGAGAAAGCACAAAAATGTGCACAGTGTGGGGTCCTCAGGGCTGGGATTAGGAACCCCTATTCTAAAGTTTAACAAACAGCCAAAAACAGAACCTTTTCTGAGCTCACAGGGGATGTTAATGTTAGTTCCTGAAATAACTAAAAAGATATGAATATTATGTTCATGCGTAAAAGAGCAATGTAAATCACCAGTTTAAATATATTTAATGCAGATCTTCCTGGAGTGGAGACAGTGGAGAAAGGAATTACAATTGAGGTCTATGGATCTTGGCAAGGGACATTACTAAGTCTTCAAAGTCCAGGTTTTGAGTATGTTCTGCCAAAGTTTGAAGGAAACCAGGAAAACAAGGTATGAAGACACTAAATGTCAGCATGATTTACTGAAATGTGTAAATTTTAAACATTAAATCAATAAATACTTTAAGAGAAAATTTTCATACAGACTCGTGTAAATGCTCATGTGTAAATCTAACATTTTTTCTCATTTTAATACCTTTTTGAACCCCCAGTACAACTTAAACCTGAAAGATCAGAAAAAATGACCCAAGTTGGATACTAAAATGTGCATATTTTTGTTTTAGTTTGCATATTAATGTAAATCGCTAAGAGCTAATGTGCTTTTTCATTTGCCTTCTAAGTTATCTAAGAATGCTAACTTGTCCAAGAATGCATGCCACTTTCTTGCAGCAAGTCTAATACATTTAGAATAACAAACCATAAAGGCAAATAATTGGTCAACGAATGAAGTCTGAACTACGGAAACATCCAATAACTGTTGGATGTCCACTTCTTCACGTAAAAAAAAAAACAAAAACAACAACAAAAAAAAAAAACACTCCTACTATATATAATACCGCTAAAGTACTGTAATCTACACCTCTGACCATTTGCTTTGGTTAGTTTATAATGAGTTTAACAAGTCTGCATGTCCAAGCTGATATTTTGTTATGATTAAAGAAATTGACCCCTTGCACTGAAAATGTAGTTTTTAAATGATCAATCAATCTTAGATATTTTACTGTGAACATATAGACTGCTTGACTGTATGTCTGAAAAAAGCGTTTAAAGGGGCGCCAAGAGCATCTTGGTTTGTACATCACGAATAAGCTTGAAACTATCATGGTCTATTATGTAAAAATATGTGAATTAGAAGACTCCGGCATGACAGGAAATTTGCAAACTTGCTTGAAATGTTTGGACTGGGCTGTGCGCTGTTAAAGCTTTTTAGAGCTAAAATTAAAAAATGACGTTAGTATTTAAAATTATAACGGTGTAAAATTTATATTACACATCTATCTAATAAACTGTCTATGTGGTGTTTAGAGCTGTCCTAGTAGTAGCAGGTAGCATGCTATTGCATTAGCTTTGCTAGACTTGCTCCACTGCCTTTGTTAGCACTAGAATCGCTTAGCATTAACTTAGCGAGGAGGCTAAAACTACTATACACACCACCTCCCAGGTTCAATTACAGCTCACTAAAGCCCCACTGATGCAAGTTCAGAGAATAAAGGTTAAAATCTCAGTTTGCTAAAAAGGCTAAAATGTTTTGTGTGTGAACCTGTCAGCTGAGCTACTATTGCTCCATTATCCTTGTTAGCACTATGCCACTTTTAATCGTTTCTCAGCACAACAAAAAAATTTAACAATTTAACATATTTTTGTGATTTCAATTATGACTTTAGGGGGATTTTATTAATTATATAAAAAACAAGTAACATATACATACAGTGAGGGGAAACAAGTAGCCAAATAAATACCTTTTGTTTTTGCAATTTAATATACTTCCAGTGTACATATCCACTTCAAATACATATGATGATGTTTGTCTTTGTACTCATAAGGACTCATTTGTACTCATGAGGCAAAAAAATGTATTCATAAGCATAAACAAAGATATGTTTAAAAAACATGAACGCTTCAACAAGGCGACAAGCCCAAACATCCTTGGGGAACTGAAGATGGTTTGCCAGGAGGAATGGGCCAAAACTGAACCACCATGCTGCAAAAAAGTAACTACTTTTTGCTGTAGAGGCCTCAAAGATGTATGCCATTGATGGCTTTGCACCTAATGTTTTAATCTATGTTGTCTGAATACTTTTTCTCCCATCTTTTTTTAAGTGTAACTTTGTCTGTGCTATGCTGAACACATAACTTTTTGTTTTTATTTAGATGTACAAAGTCAAAATACATGTGTGTAAATTTGAACTGGATGTGCACTGGAGGTAGATTAAATAACAAAAAAAAAGTCTGAATACTTCTTTCCCTTCAGTGTTTATGCCATGTAATTGGATTTACATAAATGAAATACAAACACGCTACACCATTTTACATCTGGCCCTGACTGGAGTTCCACTTTGACATATACACTTTTACTAATTTTAAATTGTTTCTTTCTAAAATTTTAACATACACATCTTTAGTGTTTCGTGGTTTGTAAATGTGTTTTGAAAAAAGAGGTAAATCTCAGTTCAGCTACCTCAAAGACTGATCCTAAGATCATCTTGCTTGCTACTATAGGATCTCACCATGGAGCTGAAAGAAGGATCTGGCTCTGTCAACACTGCTCCCCCTCTCGAACCCACCAAGCTGACTTTGAACATACTGAAACATTCTCTGACGGTTAATGGTAATACAGTGGTCGAGGATGAAAGCTTGGACTTTCTCTCTAGGTGGAGAGAAGGGATGCTCTTAGCATTTGGTGGAGTGCCAGGTAAACTTGAAAAGAATATCAACGCAGAAACTGCCTCTTATTTATCAGTATTAGTTTTCCCTTAAATCTCTGTAGTTCTCCTCAGACACTTTTAAAACTGTAACTGTCCAATATCCACAAATGTTCAATGGATGTATTTTCACTAAATGTATGTGTTCACTAAATAATGGATATTGTCCTTGAGTAAGTGAAAGAGTAAATCGACCTGAGTCGACTACATAACTCAGTTATAAACTCTTTCTCAGGTCAGACCAAAGACACAGAGAGTTCACATCACCTCAAAGGCTGTTTGGAGAAGATCCTCATACAGGGAGAGGACACTGATCTCGATCGGGCCTTGTTCAAGCATACATCTGTTTCATCCCATAGCTGTCCTGCAAAAGCAATAAATGAACTCACTTAAAACTAGTATGCAGCTTTCATCACAGCGAGTTAAGTTCTTTAACTTGTCCCACTGTCTGTTGAACGATCACTTATAGTGGATAGGTCTATTTAATCAATGGCTGTTCTAACCCATAAGCAGCCATGTTACGTGTTCTACATACTGAAAAAAAGATGCCTGAGAATAACTGTCACTTCCAGCAAGTGGTGTATTACATTAACATCCATCACTGGAATCCCCCACACTGCTGTTCTGTGTTTTCATTGCTCTGTATTTAACTGTGTTCATACTACATTCACTTCATGAAAAGCTGTATGACAGAAACAGCCTTATACACTGTTGACATACGTTTTGCACACCACAGCTCCATAGAAAAGCACTTCAAATAGAATGGGATGCTCTGGAGCAACTCCTCATGGGCCTAAGTTTACCATGTCCAATGCCAGGTGCTGACCTGAGACAAACAACACCCCCCGCACTGGGCTGTGGAGTAGTGAAAGGAGCTAATCATCAGTACCTCAACTCACTAACGCTCTTGTGGCTGAATGCAGTCAAATCCTCACAGCAATGTTTTAACATGCAGTGTAAAGCCTCCCCAGAAGAGTAGAGACTATTATTGCAAAGGGCAGACAAACTACTTATTAATAAAACCCCGGATATCAGAAAAGACGTTGGATGAGCACGTTTTTACAAACTTTCGGACATATAGTGTAACAGAGACAACACTTTCATTTCATAATACATTTCATAATGAACATCTCATCAACAAACAGGACATAACATAACATGCTTCGGCGTTTAAATGTAAAGCAGTTGAGATTCAGGGTTTGCCTACGCTCAAAATTTCTCTTCTAGGATTTTCGCCAAAGAAGGAGTGTCAGAAGATCAGAAGGCCTCTGAATCTGTGTCTTCGGCTGCCATCTAGTGGACACGTTCAGCATTATTTTCTGCTTCTACCACACCAGTAACACACGTTCGTGACTAATTAAAAAGTTTTTAGGCGCCTAAATGTATCACTATATTCGGCATAAGTGGCGTAATATTGGTAGATAATAACAGTCCACCATTTCCCTCAAAAAAACTTTTAAAAGGTCTTGATTTTTTGAGATGTGCGTAACGTTAACTTACTGCGCAACCGTTAGCTAGGGTAGCTCTTTCCACAGACGACAGAACTATCACATACTGTGAATTATGAATGAATATTTTAACGTATGCACAGAATATTTTATCATAAAATCGTTATTTATTTATATATTCATTTATCTAGCTAACTTATCTGTCTATCAGCTGTTTGATGCTCTGTTAGCTTCTACGGCTTATATCCCGGCCGAACTAACTTCAGTGTTACTCCGCCAGAGAGGGAGGAAAATTGCAATCGATGACGAATAGAAACGCAGAGCGATAAAATAGTTCCAGGTGAGTTACAAGATGCGTTCATCCTTAATTATGCGCTATTTTCCAAGCCGTCCTGTAAGATGGAAATAATACGACTGTTGGTGACAGGGCCCTAGGTAACAACATGGAGGCCTCCCAACCACCCTGACCCAATCACAATATTTTGTATTCAAGTATGAAAATTCTACACTTCATTTATTTTATTTAGGATATTTTAAACGCTAAGGCTGGTACATATAACAAAATAATAATAAAAATACACAGGAGGATTACAGAATCTTTACTTGTGTGCATTGTAGAAACGTATGTAAATATTTATTTATGAATTCAATGAAAAAACTACAACAAACACAAAAGAAAGGAACATGGTTAAAGAATATTGTGCCACTGCCTTGAAGGTATACTATACAGCCAAAAGTATGTGGACACTCCTGCTTATGTTGAGGTTAGGTGTTTCACCCACACACATTGCTAACAGATGTATAAACTTAAGCACATAGCCATGCAATCTCCATAGACAAACATCAGCAGTATCTTAACAAGGTTGTCACAACGTTGCCACAGCCTCATGACTACATAACGTTACCCTATGGTGTTATGACTACCTATTGGCAACTTAGCAAAATTCCATGGAGTTCCATGCAGAACATAACATAACTTAAGAGGATTCTAGGAGGTTGTGACAATGTACTGACAACGTTGCCACTACGTTGTCACAATATTGTCAGATAACGTTGCCACAACTTACTGAGGAATTACTTAAACATTGTGACAGTATTGTGGGCACCAAAACTATAGGTTGTCACAATGTTGTTAGAAAGTAACTGTGTTTGCTGTGTATTCTCTATTGGATCGCTCACTACAGAGTTCCAAACTGCCTCTAGATGCAAAATCAGCACAAGAACTGTGCATTGGGAGCTTCCTGAAATGGGTTTCCAAGACCAAGCATCTTGCTAAAAAACCAACATTCACCAGCAAAACCAGCATATGCTGTGTTTTGGATGTTGGTATGCTAAACTAGCACCAGACCAGTATAAACCAACATAGACCAGCTTAGACCAGAAAGGAATGCATGCTGGTCTGTCCTGGATTTTTCAGCAGGACTTAAGACACAAGCCTAAGATCACCCTGCGTAATGCCAAGCATCGGCTGGAGTGGTGTAAAGCATGGTGCCACTGGACACTGGAGCAGCGGAAACATGTACTCTAGAGTGATGAATCATGCTATTACTATCTGGTATCCACCAAAATCTTGATTTGGTGGATACCAGAATGCTACCTACCTGAATGCATAGTTCTAACAGTAAAGTTTAGTGGAGGAGAGATAATGGGCTGGGACTGTTCTTAAGAGTTTGGCCTCTGCTCTCTGGTTTCAGTGAGGGGTGATGTTAATGCTGCAGAATACAAAGGCATTTTAGACAATTATAGCTTCCAACTTTGTGGCAACAGTTTGGCAAAGGCCCTTTCCTGTTACAGTATGACTGTATCCCTGTGCACAAAGCGATGTACATAAGGTTATTGTGTGATAGGTTTGGTGTGGAGGAACTCCAGTGGCCTGCACAGAGCTCTGGCCCCCCATTGAACATCTGTGAGATTAACTGTGGGGCTGGTTGTGGGCCAGGCCTTCTTGTCCAAGATCAGTGTCTGACCTCACAAATGCTCTTTCGATTGATTGACCATACATTTCCTCAAATACACTCCAAAATCTTGTGCAAAGTCCTCCCGGAAGAGTGGAGTCTCAAGGGGGTAGGGCGACGGGCTGATCCATATTAATGTCCAAGGTTTTGGAATGGCATGTCCAACAAGGTCATATAGGTGTGATGGTCAGGTGTCCACATACTTTGTAACAGAGTTTCTAAAACTGGTTTTGTTGCCTGGTTCTCTGATTGGAGGTTACTATAGACGGAATGTGTGCCTTTTTGTTTGCTGGTTTTGAGGAAAAGCACACTCCAATGACCTTCTAGTACTGCAGCTCACAAAGTCCTGTTCATACAGCCTACATGCAGTCTCTGTACCACTGTGAGAACTATACTATAGTGCCATCATTCATATAACACTTATAACTTGCCTCAAACAAATGTTTAGAGAAATGTAGACGTTGTATTTCAGTTTAGGTTCGTTGCTAACTCTTCACGGCCTCCTTGACAACCAGCTCACCCTCCCTGCCGCTGCTCGTTCTCTACTGTCGTAAACACGCCCCTTCCCTCCGGGCCGCCCCAGCGCGATCATGGCGGCGGAGCTGCATCCGCGCAGCGGGAAGCTCATCGGTCTGTCCAACTCCAACCGGACCGCGCAGCGAAACCAGCCCGTGCAGGAGTTTAACCACGGCCTGGTGCTCAGCCGGGAGCCACTGCGCGACCGGGACGTCTTCACAGTTCGGATTGACAAGAAGGTAAATTAGGGGGGAAGGAAATAACAGGAGAGCGGGGCGACGAGGCTGAAGTCGGCTTCCCATTCGCCTGATTTTTGTTCAAATTTTCCAATTCCACCTTAAACAGTGCAGGGGTCACATTCTGGTACCGGAGGCGTCAGAATGTAACTTCTGCACCATTTAAGGTGGAATTGGAAAATTTGAACAAGAAGCTGGCGAATGGGAAGCTGACTTCAGCCTCGGAGCTGGGCGGCCGTGCGGCGAGCACTGAAACACGGGCACGCTCTCAAACTGCACCGCGTAAGGAGCAGGGGACAAGACTGTGTTACACCATACGTTAGTGTTTTTTCTGCTCTCAACCTGTCCGGTGCGGAGAAACGTCATTTCGTTGCGGCTGAATAGCCGTTAGCTAAGTTACTAATCTTCTGTGTTAGCCGTTAGCTTTGGTTGAACGATGCTGTTGCTGCAGTGCACGGTTTAGTTCAGCCGACTAGGTGATCAACGTCAAAAGGCAAAATTAGCTATTTGGCTACTACAGCCACAACACGCACTTGTCCATTCGTTCGTGCTGGCTATCATTTGTGGTGAACGCTGTCTGACATCAGTTTCTAGATGTTTCGGAGACTGACTTAGCCGGATCGCTAACAGTGTAGCTAAGCTAACGCTGCTGTCCCACTGACAGACAAGTTGGTTTTCTAGGTTAGCTGGAGCAGCGGGTCTTATATGTGCACAGGCGCATAGGTCTTATCTCTTTTCACACTTGACACACAGTCTGGCAGATGACATGGTTTACTTATTTTGGCCATCGTTGTTTGTAAAACTCATTACAAGCTGCTAGCGTTAGTAATGTAATTAAAACTTGAAAGGTTAGCGTTAGCCAGTGTGGTTGCTCTTTTAGCTTGTACGGTTGTTCGTTGCCAGCTTGACGTCAGATTTGGTAAACAAGGTGTTTTTTAACTAGTTTGAAGTTTGATAAACTGTCTGCAACGTTAGTGTCAACACAGGCTTGCTGTATTAATTGCAATACGTTTGTGTGAAAACTGTAAACTTGAGGGCTGTGTGGCTGGATCTGAAGGGCCGTCATATTCCAAGGTTGTGGCACTTTTCGACAGATTTTAAGGTTTAACAGTTCTTTAAATTTAGTCGAGCTTAGATGGCAAGTAACTCTACTTCAGGGTCACAGTGAGTGATATTGTTGGTTGTAGTTGGAAATTAAAGGTTGGTGGTTTTGGTTCGTGTTAGGATTATATTCCTGTCAAATGTGAGATTAAGGATTAGTATGAGGACTAAAATTGTAAATGTATTGGGTCAACATGATTAACCAACAGCTGAACATTTGTCCAACACAGCAAAGCATTGTCAAGTGGCTCTCCAAATAAACTGTTACAAAGTGTTTGCTGATTAAGTGATTACCTTATCATTAAGAAGCTTCCCAATAATTTGAGTAGTGCTAAAGCTACCATGACCCTAAACTTGTTTCTATTTGTGGGAATATGTGGAAATCCAATCATGTTTGCAAAGCATACTTCAGTCGCGGGAGATGCACTCTGTCCCATAGAGGCTGTTTACACTTTGCATCGACATGCGTTTCCGGTGAGCGGGTAACACTCGGATTTGACTGCAGGAAAAGCCAGGTATAAACACTCCCAGGATGCACTGTGAAACAGACGTAAAATGGAAATGATGTATCTGTTGATTTGTCTGTTTTTTATGCAGGAACACGAAATTGGATCTCATCTGCTTACACTGCATTTTAGTGGAAAGTGTAAATGGAGCCAAAGTATATCCAGTTATGATTCAAAAACTTATTGATGCAAGGTGTAAACATCCTCTTACTCTCTAGAAGGCAGCTTGAATATCTGTTTATTTATTTAATTTTATTGTATTAAACCTGCGTTAGAATCTGACAGAGAACATAAGGCACTTGTCTTTTCTGTCTGTAAACATCACAGTAGATACTGTCCGGTAAATCTGTCTGTTGAGAGCAGGCATCAGCTTGCGCTCAGAACAGCACTTATGCGTCTGGAAGTGCTTTTGTTTTAACTGCTTATTCACACCAGTGAATGCACATAGTTAGCAGAAAGTGGAAAAAAAAATTGTCAGTGTGTTTTAAGGCCCATGGAATAATGGACTTAACTCACAATTTTAGTGTAGTTTTGTGCAAAACTGTCAGTAATTCTGGGTATCTGAGATTGTCATATGAATCATGTGCACTGATGACCCTGAGTTTTTAAACTATGCATGTACATTTCACGTGATATTGATAACTACTTCTAAAAATGCTTTTGAAAAGAATCAATATCAAATCAAAAAGGACCTGCAGGATAACCCCAATTATGATGTCCTGTTTGTCAGGCATGATATGCTGTATTTCAGGCCCTGTCTCAAAGGTGTCCCTGCAACTTCTGCCTCACCGCTCCACCTCTATGCTGTGTTGAATTGTTTGGGAGTAGAAGGGCAGTATAATGATATTTTATCATTATTGTGACACATTTTATTGTCATGACGCACAGTGTGCTTTTATGAGCATATGACAGACATTGTCATTTTTTAAAAACGCTGATCAAGTGTATGTTTCATTAAAAAGAGAATGTAACTAGTCCTGTTAAATTGGATTTAGCATGTGAAATGTTTAGTTTTCGATGGCTGTTTTTAAATGTGGCACTACTACTGCATAATGTCTGTGTGTCAAAATATCTTATTGTGTATCATGAAAATGTCTTCAAGTATCGTGATATGATATTTTTGCCATCAGAGCCGTTAATAGCCTTGGAAAGTGTTTCCTAAAGCCTATTTTAAGCAAATAAGCATTGCTGAAATTCACAGCACCTTACAGACTTAGCCAAACATAGACGCATTGACTGTGAGTATACATCATATGACACGGTGTGTAACAATACAATTTCAGGTTTGATACACGACTTTGATATTCGATTCAGAGGCCAATATTCTACTTGATTTTCAGTTTTCTTATACTGACTCACTGATTTTCATAAAATGTCGAGTAAAATAAAATTTCAAATAGGTGTGAGTATGCCATAAGCCCCTTTGCACCGTCCCCACTAGGATGCACCCACATGCCTAGTTTTGATCACGGGCAGTGTTTTTCTAAAGACAGCAAATGGGACACCACTTGAAGACACTGAAGAGCATATTGGTTGTACTGCTGTACGGTTTTTCTTTTTTCTGAAAATTTTTCACTGAGATTTTCACTGAGACACTGAAATCATTACACTCTTATGTATCACACGTAAGAGGTAGAAGGTACTGTAAGCATATGTATTAACGGAAAAATGACACTGAAGCATATCACTGTGTGTTTGCACTACTCTTGTTATAGAGATAACAACACATGGAGAAATCCTGATGAACTTTTGAGCGCTCTAATGCATACCTTTCCAGCTTTCTGTAATGATGTGCAGAGCAGCAGAGTGAGGATTGAGTCTGTCCCAATCTTTCACTGCCAGAACACCCTTCCACTTTTTCAGAAGGGCCTTTTGGTGGTGAAACTTAATGGTATTATCACATGCGATGAGGAAGGAGGTTGTGACAGCCTCAGTGTACAGTCTTAAAGCTGTATTATGTTTGAAGTGTTGTACCTGGCTTGTTTTTCTGTACAATGCTTCATCTGTTTGATTTTAAATGAGAAAGAGGCTGTTGAAGACTGCTGGTTGCATTCAGTTATGTAATCAGCTAAGGGAACTCGCTCTACCCTCTCACACTCCATTTGGCCTTCTATTCAGCCTTCCTTAACCCAGATTCACTCAGCTGTTTAGTCTGTAACACTGACTTACATACAGCATTGAGGTCAAAGCAGTGGACAAAGGAAAAAAAGAATAAACATAGAAACTGCTTTAAGCAATACAAGTGTGAGTTGGAGAGATCAGAAATGTTTCTGTTGGAAGTGTTGTTCACTGATAAGGGGTACTGATGTGGTCTCTCGTTTTTGCATGAGCTGAATTTAACTTGTGTTTCTGTGTGTCTTGATATATTGTCATTTACTCTGTCTTTTAAGATTTGCGTACTTTATTTACATGAGAGGAAATCAGAACGTACACAGATGTATTCATATATTAGTCACAATACTAGTAATGTGGTTAAATGGAAATGCTTAATTTTTTGAAAAAAAAATTCTGGAGACCTTTACACACAGACAGTGATCTATTCAGACCTCAATAAATTATTTCAGGAACACATATAACTGATATCTAGCACACAAAACACAGCGTTATTTTATTCGCCCTCTGTTTGATAGGTTCGTAGGTGACGGACTCACGGACCAGCCACTTTCATCTCTGCTTTTGGCGTGACGACAATCAGTATGATGTATCGGCTGTGTCCCAGCTACTGGAACTTTTACTTATTGTAAAAGGGATTCAATGGTGATAGTATCTTCAAAAGCAGATCATACACGATTACCAACGTCTAAGTTATATGTTGAAGTACTGATAAAGTTTCAGTTCCTGAACAAAGTGATGAAGCTCTTCTACTACTTTCACTTTTCCAAAATGGACAGTTGACCAATATCACAGTTTGCCTGTTTTGTGAGGAGCAACGGGTATCTTTTAGCCCTTAAAGACATTCTGTCCATTTAAGTAATTTTGTGGTACGAACAAGGGGGAGACATACCAAAACATTTTGCGACGCATGCGTTGTGTATAGTTTTGTTGCGAAAAAGTTGTGTGTGAATTTTCATGTTATTTTTTCAAAACACATTTAGTGTGTAAAAGCCTTAAGGCTTATTCATTGTTACATGAAAGTGTGACCTTCTTAAAAAACTGCTTTAACTTAATTTCCTGCAAATGTCAGCATTGTGTGTGACTCAGAGCTCTTCTAACTACTTTGTGCAGGTGAACTCGTGGAGTGGCTCCATAGAGATTGGAGTGACTGCGCTGGACCCGGCTGCACTGGATTTCCCCAGCAGCGCCACAGGGTTGAAAGGTGGGTCCTGGATCGTGTCAGGCTGTTCTGTACTGAAGGACGGGCGCTCAGTGCTGGAGGAGTACGGACGTGACCTGGACCAGCTGGGGGAGGGTGACCGTGTAGGGATCCAGCGCAACGGGCGGGGGGAGCTGCATCTGTGGGTCAACGGGCAGGACTGTGGCACGGCCGCCAGCGGCCTCCCTTCCCGCCTGTGGGCGGTTGTGGACCTCTACGGGAAGTGTACTCAGGTCACTGTGGTCAGCTGTGAGCCCCCGCCAGACACAGAAGAACAGGAGGAAGACGAAGAGGAACGGGAGGAGGAGGTGGAATCGCCATCTCCAGCTGCTCTGACGACGGAGGCGTGCCGGGACCATGAGGACCGGACTGGGGCTCTGGTGCTGCCCGCTGTTCCTGCTTTAGCCACAGTGATGAACGGGTCAGCGGAGGAAGGTAGTGAACAAATAATACATCCTGTATTCAAAGCAACATAAACTTGTAACAGTTTAGTTCAGTTTTTCTTTCGTAAATGACTCAATGATTCAGTGCGTCATAAACTTTCAAATTTTACTATATTTTAAATTGTTTATTGTCGACTGATTCTGAATTGTTAAAAAAATGCACATGTTCAAAATGTACAAATGTTGAAACTTGATTAATTTTTTACAGAGTAATTGAATATAAACAGTTAAAACAATACATCAAGCAATACATTTTTTGTAATTTTATTTTTATGCTTAATAATAGCCTAACAATTTTGTTTTGGCCAAAATATTTAATCCATGTTTCATTCAACATTCTAAAATTGATACAGTTGAATCACCACCTTCACATCAATGCATCTCAATATAAACTATGAATTTTTACATTTGAATATAATTGTAGATGATTAATAAAAGTCTTTTTGGCATCCATGAAATGCGTTTTCACTTTTTGTCATTAGTGCCTGAAGTCACAAGGGGACACAGCCGGCCGGACAAGTTCCCAAACAACTTTGAGCCGGATACTGGTAAGATTTATACTTAAATCTGTTTCAGTTCATCTGTGATTCAGTCTTATCTCTTATTTTCTTATGGGTGAGACGATCTTTGTTTTTCCTCTTTTTTTCTCCCTTCAAGTCCTTACAGAGCACCAGTTATTTGATGTGTTCAACAATGCCATTGTCTCACTGTACCGCTCAGAAGATGAGGGTGGAGAAGATTTGGGGCTAGGTGGAGGAGGTTCAGACTCCTCCAGAGCAGGTGCAGGAAGTAACAATGGAGCCAGAGGAGGAGGAGGAAATGACAATGGGAATGGAGGCGGCGCTGAAGGTGGAGGCAGCACTAATAACAGTCCATCAGGAAGTGCAGGGGGCACAGCAGGGATGGCAGTGGGCACTGGTGGCATGACCACCAATGACGCACTGCTCTTCCATGAGAAATGTGGCACTTTAATTAAACTGAGCAACAACAACAAGACAGCCGAGAGAAGGAGGCCACTGGACGAGTTCAATAACGGAGTGGTCATGACCAACCGCCCACTCAGGCACAATGAGATGTTTGAGGTATGTGTGTTTGTGTTAATAGGGAGAAGTAATTAATGTGGGTGAGCGTATGTGAAGGTGCAAGGTTGATGTAAGAGAGCATTTTGAAAATGCTACAGTGTTACCCCAAAAATAGCTATTTAAACACTACAGTGTATATTGAGCCAGTGGGTTAATCTCTTCATGCTTTGTGATAGATTCGTATTGACAAACTGGTGGATAAATGGTCAGGATCCATTGAGATTGGAGTGACAACCCACAACCCTAACAATCTGGACTACCCAGCCACAATGACCAACTTGCGCTCTGGTATGTTCTTCTGGTTTCTTTTGTGATAGATGGTAGAAAAAAGTAAAAAAATGTTTTGCCTTAGTCTCTTTCTTTCTTTCCTTACAAGGAGAAAATTTGTTTGCAGCTATGTCTGTCATACTTAAAAGAATATTTAGAATCACTTAAAGACAATTTCTAAAACAACACAGAGAGAGTATACATGCAAACAAGAAGACAAAAATGACTCACATTTTAACTTGCTTAACAAGATTGCACTGGGGATAAAAGTCTTTGAATCGATTGCAAAATATCTTAATATATTAGGGAGTCTTTAATGAGAGCCTATGGGAAGAAGCTAAAATTGTAGATATAAAGAGGATTATCTCTTAATGTTATTAATTCTGGCTTATTTAAGGTGTGCCATTTAAATAGTTCTAAATTAAGACAATTGCTTACTTCTGTTAAGATGTAATTCCTGTAGCCTATTAACAGTGCTATTAAGAAGTTTCTTGTTCTTTATATTCAGATTACTAAACCAACTCATAAGGGCGAATTTCAGAACTGACTTAATAGAAAACAAGATCATAAACTCTGAGCACACCACCAGGCTCACTGGAAATTTTTGACTTAAAAAGCTGTTATTCTTATCCATGTCTTTGATCTGTGTTTGCTATTAGGTACGATTATGATGAGCGGCTGTGGGATTTTGACCAATGGGAAGGGGACACGTAGGGAGTACTGTGAATTCAGCCTGGATGAGCTTCAGGTATAGTGCTTGCTGTGGCTATATGTTACTAATGCTATTTTTCCACTGAGCAGTACGATACAACATGGTACAGTTACAAATCTGAACCCAGAGCTATCTGTACCCTGATTGAGTACCTGTGTCTGTTTCTTATTGCGTTACAGAACTCTGACAGTATGCGCATTAGCTTGTGTGGTGACTTGATTTCTCATGCGAATTCAGGGTTAACAGTGAACAAAAACAATAGTAACAACACTGGAACAGTTTCAAGCTCCGAATTTATTTATTATTTATTTATTTATTTTTAAATGGTGGTCATCTGACACGGCATGATTCTTTGACAGTTGTGTTTGACCAGTAAGTGGTTTGTGCTCACCCACTCATTCCAACTTGACATGCTTGGTACCTCAGCTAGGAAGATAACCAGATTCAGCACAGATGATGACAAAAATATGTGATCATGGATTTGTGATTGTACTGTACTGCACTGCCTGGTGGAAATAGACAACAAAGTCCTTCCTTAGCACATGTTTTGTTGCTGTTCTAACCTGGGGATTATGTGTTCATTCTCAGGAGGGGGATCATATAGGGCTAATGAGGAAAGCCAGTGGAGCGTTACACTTCTACATCAATGGCATAGACCAAGGTAAACAAATTGTCTTTAGTCAATTATCATTATCTGTATCAGAGTTAGAAATTAATAATTTAAGGTCATAAAATGTCGAAAAATGTCGTATTTTTCGCTATTAGAGGTGTTAAATTTAGAAATGTCTGCTTCCATCATATTTTAATGTATCAGGTATTGGCTAAAATAAGCCTGATCCAGTTTAAATCTTTTTTGCGCTCTGTTTACTTCACTGTTTACCATAATTTAAATGTCTGTATTGTTGAACTGTTATAAAAACGAAGATTGAACCGTGTAACATCTGCAGCTCCAGTGTTTCTTTTGTGTTTAAACTAGCCACCTTTCGTCTAAATGAGGGCATGTAAAATGTGAGCCATTTCTGGTTCAAATACAATGTTAACACGTTCAAAGGTAAAAGAAAAGAGCAGGCTGTGGTGTCATGTTGCAGCAGTATGAAATCAGAACATATTCACGACCCTATAAGATGGTTATTTCACATAAGAAGTCTAAAACTGAAGCTGTCGGTTAAGATTGTATAATACTGTGCACACAAATTTGTGATTTAACTGCAGAATATGAAAGTAACATAACTAAATGATCACGAATCGATCAAATATGATCATAATATCATGCAGATGCTAAAATGAAGTGATTTTTGCAGTAGCAATAATTGACGGAGTAGCACACTCTTACGTAAATTGTGCAGCAACATTATCTATGAAAACACAAATATAGGATTTTATAACTGATACTTCATATTAAAAGACTGATCAGATTGAATTAAACCCTAATTAAACTGTAAGATGATGCCTAAAGGCCATGTTGAAAACTGAATCACAATGTATATTAAAATAATCCCGGTTAGTCTGCCAACCAAAATATTCAGCAGACAGTATGTCCTGTGGTCAAAACCGACTGATGATGAAGGACTGGAAGACAGCAGAACTGACAGTCAAACACACTGAAAAGTGTGTTCCTTTCAACCCATAGGTTTGAATAAAATAGACATTTAATACATGTCATATTTGAGCATGTGTGCTGATACGCCACGGAAATGATATTAGTTTTGTTATGCTGAGATTCTAAAAAGTTACTGTGGATCTGACAGCAGTGTTTGATATAAGAAGCCCCCTCCCCAGTAATAACATGTTAGTGTATAAAATATTTGCATCCTTTCATTCTAGCTGACCTCTGACTTTGTGTGGTATTTTCAGGTGTGGCTGCTAACCAGACCCCAGGTGTGGTATATGGGGTGGTGGACCTTTACGGAATGGCAGTTAAAGTCACTATCGTCCACAATCACAACCATAGTGACCGGTTACGTCGCAACAATGCCATTATGAGAGCGCTGTCACCTGACGTTGGGCGACCTCGGCCTGCCCTCTCATTGACCCCTGACCCGGAAGCCCCGGACCGTCTGCTCTTCCATCCAAATTGTGGCCAGAAGGCAGCCATCATTGGCGATGGCAGGACTGCACTGCGACCTCAGTAAGAGACTTTTTTTCTAGATTTTTGTATATTGTTTGTTTTTAACATAACTGAGCATTAACCTTATATGTGATTCATTAAAAAGTTTATTACAGCTGATGGTTTAATTCATGAAAAAAATGTTTGTAGTTTCTATGTCCTTTCTGATAATTTTGTGTTTTTTTCATGTACAGTGCCACAGATGACTTTAATCACGGAGTGGTGCTAAGCAACCGCCCGCTGCATTCCAATGAAGTGTTCCAGGTGCGCATTGACAAAATGGTGGATAAATGGGCTGGGTCCATTGAGATTGGAGTGACAACACATAACCCTGCCTACCTGCAGCTACCCTCCACCATGACCAACCTGCGCTCAGGTACAATGTGTGCTCTCGTTAAAGTACACATGCTCAGTTACAAATGAAGGCATAATTTAAGTGTAAATATTTTAAGTCTCTTTGCCCAAAAGCTGATTTGCCAGATATGGATTACCACTTTAATCCTAGACTAAAATGAGTTTTAAATAGAGAATCTCTTTTAATAGTGTAAACTATTCCTAGAACGCTCTTAATCTTTGTTCAGGAAACCAGACGTTCAAGTAATTAAAATCTATCAAGCTGTGAACTTGAATGACTGCTTATATTTGCGTGTGCTCACAACCTCGTCTTTAGGGACGTGGATGATGACAGGCAATGGAGTGATGCACAATGGAACGACAATACTGGATGAATATGGACACAACTTGGACCGACTAAAAGTAAGTATTGTTCCCTGGTATTTACTAGTATTTACTTATTGGGAGGTTTTTTACTTAAAGGAGTTTCAGCTTACTTGCAAATGTGGAGTGACAATTATTAATGTCTTTAAGGCAGTCTCAAAATGCTAGCTAGTTAGCTCAGGCCCAACTAAAAAATACTTTTGATTTGAGTGAGGTGGGACTGTGACAAGTTGTAGCTCTAATTTTGATTGTTACAAGATTAAACCTGACATCTTTAGCATAGTTCAGGCCAGCTGAAAACACAAAGTGCGAAAATCTTTCAATCTGAATGACCACATTGTACTTTATATGAGTATGACCCGATTGATAGGCCTGTCACGATTATTACATAATTGCCTGATCAGAATTATTTATAAGAGTTTAAATGTATTATTTATGAGTTATTTATTAGTTATTAGATTTTACAATTACATTTTTATGTTGCAGCAGTCAGAATATCACTTGGATGTGTTTTTATCTGTTGGGTTGAGGCAAATATGTGTAAATAAAAGTAAACAGCAAACTCCCTGCAGTAAGTTGTGTAAATCTGTTGTGAGATATGATGTAATAATGATAATATAAATCACAATATTAAATATAGAGGTGTAACGATACACTCAGCCCACGATTTGATTCAATTCACGATATTCGGCCCACGATTCAGTATTCTCTCAAAATTTTGAACAAAATTTTAATAAAGAAAACTTGACTTCATGTTGTTTCACAACTTTTTAATGACACTAGAGCTGGGAAACAGGAGGAGTGCTGGAGCGAGGTGTTTACTGCTTAAATACTTTAGTGTTTAACCAGTGCAGTTGCGTTAGATGGTATCATTAATGTAATGTCTAATCTCCACGATGCATTGTCACACCTCCACAATGCACATAGTTTTTCATTGCGATATCATGATTTTGCAATACATTGTTACATCCCTAATTAAATATATTTCCATAATTATCATTCATCACCCATGAGGAATGGTGTAGAGAAGATAAGCGACGGTGTGTAATCACATTAGATAAAATGATGCAGCAGTACTGTAAATACTGGAACAGTTAATCTCAGCAGTGTGTATTTACCTCTTTACCCATGTGCTCTCTGTGTCTGTAGGCTGGAGATACTGTAGGCGTGGTGCGTAAGGACGATGGTAGCCTTCATTTCTTTGTGAATGGAGTGCCTCAGGGGCCAGCAGCCTGGAACGTGCCACCCAGTGTGTATGCTGTAGTCGACCTATACGGACAGGCAGCCCAAGCAACCATCATGGATGACATGGGTGAGAGAGGAGAGGGTGTATGTGGAATGGAGGGGAATTGATGGAGGAGTGCATGGAGGAAATTGTTAAAGAGCAGACTAGAGAGCATGGCAGTAGACATGGGGAACCGAGGGTTAGAGAACAACTGTATAGAACAATACAGTTGAACACAACCAATCTATCTCTCTCTCTCTCTCTCTCTGTCTCTGTCTCGCACACTCTCTCTCTCTCTCTCTCTCTCTTTCTCACTCTCTCTCTCTCTCTCTCTCACCCTCAGCTGACCTCCCTCCTCTCCCAGATGATAGCTCCGAGGGACCAACGGCCATGTCTCCTGGCAGCCCGTGTTCCATTACAGGGGCCAGTGCAGCCAGTGACCTGCGCTTCCATCAGCTGCATGGCACTAATGCGGTCATCACAAATGGTGGCCGCACGGCGCTCCGGCAGAACTGTCGCAGCGAGTTCAATGATGCCATCGTCATCTCCAACAGGTGTTTTAGGAGAGAGATTTTTTTTTTGGTGTGTTGTTATTTTGTTTTTGCAAAGCTCTTAGGCTTTGTGGTCTATCCAGTGATGGACAGTGGTTCAGTTTCCCAGTCTTTGCATGATAGCCTGAAAAGGGACGGAGGTTAGATGACTTTTGACATCCGGAAAACCTACAAAACTCCGTGAGACAGGGATAACACAGATAAGGTTACAGCCTGCATCGCAGTCTTTCATAAATAACATTGGCAGGGATGTACACTTTGCTGTCAGATCTTTGTCGTATTCCCATTAACTGTGAGACTGTCTCCCATCTTTCTATCTATTTTAGCGCTCGCAAACAAGTAAAAGCCAGTCCGAGATTGACTCTTGTCCAATCTCTTCCTCGGTCACTCTCTCTCTTTTTCTCCTCCTCACTTCCTCTGACATCATTATCTTCGGTCTCTTCCCAGCCTCTGCCATAATGTTTATGCTAGGAATACCAAGTTAGCTGCTTCTTATCGCTAGCTGAAGAGCCATAGTTGTTGGTGTGTGATGTGGTGCTGTAAAGCGTTACACAGTTCTCACAACAGGTTTTATGCCCACTGCTCCAAAGTTACATAGCGTTATAACAAGTGTTTCGGGCCCGGAGTGTCAGTTATAGAGATGACTTTCTCCCTATTATAAGTCAGTATACCTTCAAAATGATTTTGAATCTGTTATTTTAAGTTAAAGTTGTTACATAATGTTGCTTTAAGTCTAGTCCTAGACCATATTTTTCTTCCAGTGTAGAATCTCTGGTCAGAATGTTGTGTAATCTAGGACTAGGCTTAATCCCTGCCTTAGAATCTGACCTAGTGCGCTTAGCTGGATGTGGATTGTACAGTGTAAAGATTTGTCAGCAATATATGTATTCTCACAGGTGCCTTCGCGATGGAGAGTTGTTTGAGATTGTGATTCAGAAGATGGTGGATCGCTGGTCAGGCTCAATAGAAGCAGGTGAGTTGAACTTATAATACAGCCAGAGCACATCTGTCCAGCATCTGTGCTCTTGGTAAATACTAAAACACATTTTGACTTAAACTGCACATCAAAATGGCATTAAAGGGAAATGCACTTTTTGAATTGAATTACCCAAAATTAGTTATGTGCATTGCAAAGGCTTTTGTTACATGCATTTCAGTACCCTAGTGTTTCTAGCATTTAAATGTTTTAATGAAGTTATTGTTTTTTGCCCATATGTTCAGCAGACTTGATTCTGCAGAAGTTAAAATTGTGCAAGTTCTGAAACTTAATAATAGCAAAATAATTATGGCTGCCAGGAGCTGTTGGTCATATCAATAGACATCCAAACCATCTTGTAAGATTTCCTGTTCCCGGTTATGACAGCAATTGGTTTCCAGCCATTATGAGGGCAAAATAAGAGAGGGCACAAATGAAGCTCTAGCAGACTTTTGCCTAGTTGATGTTTTAAGCCAAACATGAGCATACGTGCTTGACACTTTTCTTTAAAGAGTCGTTTTCAGTGACAACAGAGTCAATACTTCTGATAGTTTTACATGTTCTGCTTGGTGGCAGAATAAACTGGTGAATGTTTCAGTTGAATGGTTTGTTTTGACAATGTGTTGCAGGAGTGACTGCCATCAGGCCAGAGGAGCTGGAATTTCCCAACACTATGACTGACATCGACTATGACACCTGGATGCTGAGGTAGGTTTTCCGTTTACTCTGTCTCTCTTGCTAATCTGGCAGGTTGTAAAAACAGCATCATGGCTGTATTAGGATAAGCTGTGAATTTACCATCAGAGTGCATGGTAAATATACGGTAATACAGAGTCAACAGGTGACCCATAACTGTCAAATCAGGTGCTGTGATTGCTCATGAAAATTTTGAGAATACAACATTTGCATCTCTCTGTCAGCTTTTCTCACACTCCTTATACATCTGTTTTATCTTGCTCATTATCCTCTTACATGGTCCTATCCTTCCATCTTTCCGCCCCTTCTTCCATATCATATGCAGCGGCACAGCAATCATGCAGGATGGGAACACCATGCGGAATAACTACGGCTGCGATCTTGACTCTCTGAGCACAGGCTCCAGGATTGGAATGATGCGGACAGCCTCAGGGGATCTGCACTACTACATAAATGGAGTGGACCAGGGAGTGGCCTGTACTGGCCTGCCACCAGGTAAAGGTGAATGGAACCAGTTTATCCAGCTCTACATGTTGTGGTTTCACTGCTGTTAAAGCTCACTTACATGAAAAACCCGTGAACCCGATAAACTCCTTCTCCCTTTCCCTCTGTCTCTCATTCTATTGCTTCTCAGAGGTGTATGCAGTGATTGATCTATATGGGCAGTGCGTGCAGGTGTCCATCACTAGCTCATCTGGCCCTCTGGACAATAGCTTGTGCACAAGTAATATCACAGAGAAGAGTTTTCCTATACACTCTCCAGGTAGTGTGTATCTTTTGCAAATGATTGAAATTAATCTTAATTATTATCTTAATCATTTTAGGTTGAAAATTGAATAATCCCAGCACTAAAGACACTCTTTAAAAGGCCTATATCCTGGAAAACCAAATTTTCCTGTTTTTTTGGTAATAAGAGTTTTGATGTTTGTAGCCTAAATATTATTAAAGTTTCTATTCATTCTCTAGTCTGTTCAGTCCACATATGTAAACTAAGCTGCAAAAACAGCCCATTTTGAAATCAATATTTTTGTGATGTCTTGAAAAACCAAATTATTTATATATCCACCAAGTCAGCCTACAGCAGTTTAACCCCACTCATTTTTTGCTGAAGTTATAAGGAGTGATTTAGACTGGACTACTTTTAGAATGAGAATCAATACAGGACAGCCAGTCACACCAGCGCAGTAACAAAACAGCCTGTTTAATTCTAAGGGATAAAGAAAAGTTAGAAAATGGTTGTGTAAAAATGAATGAAGATGTTTTTTGTACATAAAATCACATACATCTCATAAATAGACCAAGGGGGGAATATAAAATGCAAGATGAATGTAGGACATTGGCTCTTTTGATTATTTACTTGTGGAATAATACAGTCAAAAGTTAGATTAAATAGACTGTACTACTTTAATAATGATTCATTTGAATAGCAGAACAGGGTCGGTAGTAAACTCGAACTGACTGTGTTACTATTCAGTGTTACAAATGTTTTACCATGTTTAGCTGACTTAAATTAATCTTTTTATGTGTATCTTCTCTATGTCGCCCTCTAGTGGCAGGAGTGGCTCATCGACTGCACAACAAACATGGGAAAAATGTGGTGTTACTAGGAGATGGTTGCCAGGCAGTCAGGGTGGGAGGTTACGCTCATGGAATTGTCTTCAGTGCAAAGGAACTTAAGACAGATGAACTGTTTGAGGTGAGACCTGGGCAGAGGAGAAGATGAAGTTTGATGAGCAGGAGCAGAGTGAAAAAAAACCTACTGAAAAGGGCTCAGTGTCAAAACGCAGTACATTAGCTTTGCCAAATGGCGCTGTGGAAGTGTAGTGCATGATGTACAGTACACATAGACAGATTTCTCAAGTCTGAAATATTAGAAAATGCACCGACCTTTTAAATTAGAGTGAGGTTTGTTGAAAGGAATAAAGCAGCTGCGTGTTCTCTTGGTCCAGGTAAAGATAAATGAGGTGGATGAGCAATGGTCTGGTTCACTTCGCATTGGCTTGACAACCCTGCAGCCCCCTGACCTGCCCTCCTGCCCCCTTAGCGGCCTCTCGCCCTCCCTCACTCAGCTTCGGTCAAAAGTGACCTGGCTGCTTGCTGGTTCAGAGGTCAGACGCAATGGCGTACTGCAGAGACAGAACTACGGCTGCTCGCTGGACCGCCTGACGGTGAGCTAAAGGAGAGATAGAAAGAGAAAAGTAGTGAAGAGTTAAACTGAATTATATTATGTGACTGCAATACAGAAAAAAAACTGTTAGAATTAAAAGAAATAAGGAAACTGAAAAATAATTAGATGATTGAAATTTCAATTAATGACCTGTAGTAAGCATACAAAAGACTAATTCATATCTTTTTGACTCCTCCCTCTCCATAACTGCAGGTAGGGAACCGTGTCGGTGTGAAGAGATGCAGTGATGATACAATGCATATCTTTATTGACGGAGAGGATATGGGACCAGCAGCTACCGCTGTGGCTAAGGTGGGCTCACATGCAGACCAATTAAAAACTGGAAAACTGAATACAACTACAAAGTGGACAAGCGTGTCATGTAATCGTACCTGTTTGTGAATGTGTCTCAGAATGTGTATGCGGTGCTGGATCTGTATGGAAAGGTGACGGCCGTGTCAATTGTCAGCTCCACGCTAGTAGAGGACACAGAGAGTGTAAAGGCTCCTTCACTCTCATCCGACAGCTGCAGTGAGGGAGAGGATGACTCCACACCGGTTAGTGAGGGGGTTTAACCTGTAGAGGCTGGCTTAAGTTAAATAAGGAAAGCCTTAACTTTGTGGTGTTGTGAATATTGTGTTTTGTACATGCTTAGTCCTTATTTTCTGTTGTTCTTTGTCTTTTGTCGCTGGGTGTAGTGTGAAAACGAGCCTACCCTGGTGCCCATGGCAATGGCCTTTCTGGAAAATCATGGGAAGAATATCCAGCTGTCCAATCAGAACCTGACTGCAGCCCGAGTGTCCAGCTATAACCAGGGCCTGTTGGTCACAGCACAACCTCTACCCCGTCAGCAGCTTTTCCAGGTTTGTGTCTGTATGAATGTGCGTGGACATGTGTGGCTACGTGTCTGATGTGCAATTTCTTTTTTTTAACACCATTAACGCATTTTCCTAGTTTGACCCCCAAGCCATCTGTAATTCCAGCTGCTCACACATTGTTGCAATGACTCCACAGCTGTGGCCTTTCTTTCAAACACCGCTTTTAAATGGCAAAAAATCCATTGATAGTTCTCTTAATAAAACCAACATTCTTTCCAGCTGCTGTCATAGTGAATTTTCATTTTGAGAGATTTAAGAAGCTGCCTGTTCTCTCTGCTACACACTGTAATGCCGGCTTTAGCTATCCCACTGCTCTTTAAGTTTAGCTTGAGCGCATGGAACCAAAAATGTATTCCACCATGCTTTGTAACTTCAGCTTGCTTCATTGTGACTCAGTGGCAGTAAAACAACCAAACTAAAATGAATGGGTATTACCCTAGAGCAGTGAGCTCTACACCTGGAACTTTTAGAAGCAGAGGAAGTTCCTCTGATCCCTGAATAAACAAGATCAGAACTAGGAAACAATGTAAAATAATATGTTCGCATATGTTTTATTTACTTTTTTGTTAAAATGTTGGGCTATTATAGGGCCTCAAAACATGTTAAGCAACAGTAAAGTTAGTACTAATGACTTCAGAGGTCATAGGTACAGCATAACGTATTTAGGTGGTTTTGATTAGAAACAAGATAGACATGCTGGAAATAATGCTTTACTTTTGTTTTTCTTTACTTGAAGAGTTTGTTTATTTTGCATTACTGCAACAAAATGAAGAGTAGAAAACGCTTATGATATGAATAATGTTTTTATCCCATTAAAGGCATCACTTAACATGCTCATATGTGTATTTCTGCATATGGATGATTTTAGCCTGCAGTATTCATGCATGGCTGCTGACTAAATGAAATACAACCAGTTTACAATAAATCTATTAGCCACTACCACTGCTTTTTTTTTACATGCCCATCGATAATCAGTAGAAAAAAAATAAATAAATAAATGATAATCACAAAATTTTAACTTTATGTATTGTGTTAATTGTTTGTAATATCACCAAGGACAACTAACAGGGCACACATGAACAAATACTAATATTCTAATGTAATGTTCAGAAGTAGAGCTGACAAGTAAAAAGATATTAAACAAACAGATATATGATGCACCAACCAAATGTTTGTCTGATCGGTGTACTCTGGCATGCAAAACATAGAGCTGATGCCAGCAATACCTGTAATATCAGTAACGTCAGCACCAGAGGGTGCCTTCAGCAGACTATTCTGGACACTGCTTGCAGGAGACCTAGGGGTGAATCAACAAGACATAACATGGCTGTTTTAGAGAAAGAACAAGTTGAATCATCCAGCCACTGTTTAGACCCGTGGTCTCCAGCCCTGGTCCTGGAGAGGTTCCTTCCTGTATCCAATAAGCTGCCCCATTCCTTTCTTAATTCTGAATATACACATCTGATCCAGTCATTTAGGGACTTGGAAAGCGCCTGATTAGCTGGAACAGGTGTGGCGAACTGTGGCTGGAACTAGGCTTTGCAGGAAGGTAGCTCTTCAGGACCAGGGTTGGACACCACTGCATTAGAAGTTGGTGATGAAGATTGGAAACTGTGCTTCCCCTAGGAAATGTATGTGATTTTCATGTTTAGGTTTAAAGTATGAAAGCCATTGTTTTCTTACTTTGGAGTTTAAGAACATGTCATGAGTCTTTTTTCGACTTTTTCTCAGGACGTTTCTCAAGAACAAATTTAAGAAAAAGCTTACAAAGACATTGATGAACGAAGCCTAATGTCATTTAATTTTTTCCACTTAAATAGTTATAACAAACAAGTGCAGTTCATCACAGTTACCTGTACAAGGTAATGTGTAACCTGTACAAGGTAATGTTACCTGTACAAGGTAACTGTTTTAATCATTTAAACTCTCATTTATTTACAGATCTTCACGCTGTGTGTATTTGAAACACTGATTCCTTTGCATCCTTCTGATCAGTTTCAGATAGACAGGCTGAACTCATCTTGGACGTCATCTTTGTCGCTCGGTGTGATCGGTCACTCTCCTGATCGCCTCAACTTCCCCTCCACGGCCTGCTGCCTTAAACGCTCTGTCTGGCTGCTGCAGCGAGACTCTGTCTTCCACAACTCACTAAAGGTAACCCAATTCTCTCTGATCTTTCCCTTCTTTCTCTCTTTACATTTTCTTAAATATGCAAAAAAAAAAAAGTCTTATGCATGCTTGTTGTTCTCTCTCTTGCTTTTTCTAGTTTAAGACTGTTTTGACTTTGTCTTCCTCCATCCTCCTCAGATCTGTGAGAACTACGGGCCAAACTTGGACACGTGTCCTGAAGGGACAGTGCTAGGGCTTCTGGTGGATGCTAATGGCTGCCTCCACCTGTATGTGAATGGGATGGATCAGGGGGTGGCAGCCCAGGACATCCCCAGCCCCTGCTACCCCCTTATTGACCTTTATGGACAGTGTGAACAGGTCTGCATAGTACTACACTGTTAACAAATAAAGTCTGCACAAAGTTACCTGTCATGTTACTGGGAAATCAGGCAACAGCTGATATCAACAGCAAATGTTAATTAGTGTTGATGTGTAAATAAAAGGAAACTAATATGAATTTCTCAGCTGGTTACACTTAAAATGAAAACACCATATCAGGGTTTCCAAAATACATCCAGTTGGCTTACTTTCCCCCAAGGCTGTTACCCACAGTAGATCCCCCACAGTCTTGTACTCTACGGTCTTGTGACTAATCCTAAAACCCATTTAATCCAGTCAGACACTGAACCTGAGTGGCCTTCACCTATCATTTCACAGTTTGCCCATAAGTTTGCAGGAATTAATGATTAACTCTGCTGCTGTCCTCTCAGGTTACCATAGTGACAAACCATGTGCCGGCAGTGGGTGCAGAGAGTGGTGATGTACGTTGCCAAGGTGACATGGAGAAGGCTGACATGGTAGATGGTGAGTAAGCCCATTGTCTGACTTTTGACTGGATGTTTTGAGTTTCATAGGTTGTAAGCCTTTTTCTAAATGACTTATTTTGTTGTGGAGAGCATTTGAACATAGAATGTAGGAGATAAGATCTACTTCACTAGATAATTCAAGGAAAACAGCAAGTAGTATTTATACTGAGCCATGCATTGCTATTAACTTTTTTTTCTTACGTTAACATTTTAAAGTCAGTTCTCAGCAGAATTTGTTAAGGACATGGAAAGCAAACATCGTTTAGTGCCTACTATGAAGTATTACTTTTAGAAAGAATATTTGACCTGCATCTGAACAAACTCTTTTTTCAGGAATAAAAGAAAGTGTGTGTTGGACACCTCCTCCTGCAGTGAACCCCAATAAGACATGCGAGTACCAGGCGCTCTGCTCAAGATTCAAAGACCTGCTCACACTGCCAGGTTAGGCCTGCTTAATACTGGCTCTATGATGAATTTGTTGAAAATGTTAGATAATTCCAATATATTGTGACGTGACATAATTTGTATAGAATTTATGTTTAGCTATCCTGCTCAGTCTATCTCTGTCTTTCGCTACCTATTTTCCCTCTGGAAATCTTTGTCATGTTAACTTTTGTCCCCCTCTTTTCTTTGGTTCAGATGGTTACTTCAATGAGGATGCCAAGTATAACCTGTGCTACTGTGAGTCCTGCCACAAGCTACGTGGTGACGAGGCGTACTACAAGAGAGGCGAGCCACCCAGAGACTACGCCCTGCCATTCGGCTGGTGCCGTTTTGCCTTGAGGTCAGTCAGTTCAGCTGTCAGTTTTTATGTTTCAGGGTTTATGCTGCAGGTGTACAGACTGACTCAGTAGGACTAAATACATAGAAACATGACAGAGAGGGTTTCATATCCATAATGTTAGACAGAAACTGACTTTTTATTATGCATACGTGTGTAAATATGCAGTAGTGTGTAAATGTGACTGTGTTATTTTTAATGTTGTAACAGGATCAAGCCACACTGTGAGGTATCAAATACTTTTAAGAAGTGGCACATTGCGTATCATGGCACAAGTGTGGGTTCTCTTCGTCGTACGCTGGACCACAACCAGCTCCTGCCAGGTCAGTTCTCACTGTATCTGGAGCTGCTAGCTTTCCAGATGTTTTAAACTTGGGGCAATGATGCACCAAAAAGAAAAATCTTAATCTCTGAAAACCTAGTGTTTTTTTCCTCCTTTGCATTAGCTGTTTGATTAATTACTATTTCCATATGAAAAGTTTGTTATAATTTGACATCTTGTTGTTTAATTAAATCTTTTAAAGATTGGAATCTGTCTAACTCTGAAATTGGAACAGCATAACAAAATGTTCTGCATTTATACTCTGTCACCACAAAATCAAAAGTGGCTAACCCCTTAAAGGAGCAATATGTAATACTGACAGCAATTGTTTAAAATGGGCACTGCAGTCTAAATTCAGAATATTGGAGAGAGTTGTCTCTCCATGCTCCTCATCTCCAGAATCAAGCTCACACGGGTTGCAAGGTTGAGCCTACAACCTACACTGAACCTACATAAACAAGCGCAACATTAAACTTTGACAACATTAAGCTTCGTCATATGCTGCAAGTTGATAAGCTAATATAAGCAAATTACAAACCAGCTTGTGGATTTTTAAAAATAATTCTGACAGTTTAAGCTAGATGCATGGCTGGCTGTGTACGTCCAAACTGCCAAAACTAAGCCAGTTATCCCCAAAACAAAAGCTAAAACTAAACCAGTTATCCTAAAAACAAAAGCCCACTGCTCTGAATATACAACCCCATTTCCAAAAAAGTTGGGACCCTGTGCAGAATGTAATGTTAAAAGAAGTGGTGATATAACAGAGTGGTAAACATGCCCCTGTCACAATTTTTTGAAGCATGTTGCTGACATCAAATTCAAAATAGGCGTATGTTTTTCACAATATATCCAATATGTTGTATTTGTACTATTTTCAATTAAATATAGGGTTTAAATGATTTACACATCACTGCATTCTGTTTTTATTTACATTTTGCATCCCAATGTCTTTGGAAACGGGGTTGTTGTACTCGCTGCTTTGAAGAAGTTGAAGTCAGCTTCTTATTTGCCTGCTTTTTGTTCAGATTTGCCCGTTCCACCTTAAATGGTGCAGCACTTACATTTTGGTGCCTCGGCTGCCAGAATGTAGCTGCTGCAGCATTTAAGGTGGAACTGGAAAATTCGAGCAAGAAGCTCGAGAATAGAAAGCCATCTTGAGTCGCCTGCCTTGATAACCCAGCTGCACCTGGACCAGAGTATGAATGCGAGTACACAAATGTTGAAATTACTTAAAATGACCATCCCTACTAGTAGACATTATAAATTAGCTAAGATTAGCTAACCTCAGCTTAAGTGCAGCGCTTACCTGTTCAGGAGAAAATTACCGAACTTGGCATCCATCTTAGTCTTTGTGGGTTCTAAGCTGTCTCCATCTTTCAAATGCATCGCCAGTATTTACTCACGTTGTACTGCATCTCTGGTCATGGGGCTTTTTAGAAGGATGCAGAGGCTTTTTAGGTCAGGATCCAGTTCATTAGCTTGCTTCAATGGCTGCAGCAGACAGTTTGCCTGCCAGTTTGTTTCATATCTGGCAACCAAGTGAGTGGGCTCACACACTAAAACACAAACAGACTTTCTGCTCTGGAATGGAAATTTCAAAGGAGAAAATACTGGTTGTAGCACTATTGTGTGAAAAGCCAGTATTTCAACTTAGCATGTTTCCCTAAACTCTGATGACGTATCATTGTCATCTTATGATTTAGAACAGTAAATATATTACATATTGTTCCTTTAAAGAAGTGCATGGCTAGGTAAACAGAGAGAAATGAATCGTGTATTGATGTTTGTGCTTTCTTTTAGCAGAATCGTCCTCTGTGTTTTCGGCATCCCCTGTGAAGGCGGAGGGTCATGGCAGCTATGGAGAGCCGGAGGAGAACAGTGCCCCGGAGCGAGAGATCCCTTGTGTTCGCCTCTCTCCCACCATGCGCTACTCTGGCCTGGAGGTCTTTGCCCCTAAAGTGCAGTGAGTCCTCATCAGGCCTTTCATCGGTTTTGATTGCACACCACATAACTTGATTTACGTTACATAGTTATTTATATGTAAATATATAATTACATACTTACATAGTCAGTTATACAGTGATTTGCACTTACATTTAATTTACATTCTCTATGGACGGGTTTGAGTCTACACTTCCAAGTTTCCAAACAAACAATAATAAAGACAAAAAAAAATAAAGGACTGAAGTTCGAAAGAAAGACCACACCAGGTCTTCTCTACCCTCCCAATTTAATCCTTCCCCTATTTTAAATGTCCATATCTACTTTCCACATCCCCTGACAAAGTTTTCATACCACACCACCACCCTCTTTATTCCCTGTTCCTGAATTTCTTAGGGAGGAGGGGCGTCCAGCCTCCTAGAATACAGCAGAATCCATTCAGACCCTTAGCCCAAGGTCTCTCCCCTCCTACAGTCATGCAGCCTCTCTTCATACCACAACCATATGCTGAACGTGTGGTTTGAACTTGCAAAACACCCATGTGGAATCAGTTAAAAGTCCACATTTTTGTCAGAATTAATCTGCTTTGTTTTTATTGGCTATAAGTGAGAAATAATTAAACAAAGAGGCATTTCAAGATATGTAGGCCGGGGGGGGGCTGTGGGCTAGGAGGGCTAAAGTACGCATCCTTTTCTTTCATACTCCTGCGTTGAAATCATTAATGGCAAATAAAGGTTAGCCTTGGCTTTTTTCCTCAGTATATCATGGAAGTGATTGAAGTCATGCTTGCTGCCTATTACATTGTGTCAGAATTTCTTGATAAATGGACAATAGAAAATCCAAAATCATTTACAATGAATGATTACACTAACTTGCATTGAAAGTTAGGAGCATTTCTCATCTTTTTGGAGATACAAGGGTTTTTTCCAACAATGAGGATATGTTCTCTTTCTCCCAGATTCCGAGACCCACGCTCCCTGCGCTGTCACCATGCCCAGGTGGGCTTCCAGGTGTGTGTGCGTCCAGGCTCCTACAAGGTGGGCCCACAGTCTCTGGGCATCAGCGACCCGCTGGATCAGAGGTTCAGCAACACAGAGATCGAGTGGATTACCAAGGAGAAAGGAGGCACCCTTCTCTATGGCCTGCTCATCCGTGTGGAGTGAGAAGAGAATGGCAGACAGACAGAAAGAGAGAGAGAGTATTTGCTCAATCTTCCCCTGTATGCACTCTGCATATCACCTCCCAACCCTCTTCAGAGCTTTCATACCAGAGGATGAAGTGTCATTCTTTTGTTTTTGGGCTTTCCTCTCCCTTAAAGGTTTGTATTTGTTGTGTTTTACTTGAGGTTGATGGATTTGGAGACACTTCCTGCACTTTATGTTTTGGACACCGATGGGTGATTTTTTTAAAAAAAAATTCTTAATTTTCATGATGTTTGCCTCTTCATTGGCCTGGTTTCTAGATTGTATGTTATAGGTACTTCCTGTCACCGTCCTCTTAGACAGCACAGTAACCTAGAACATGCAGTTTGGAGTACCCAGGATTAGAGCTTCTCTCCTTCTCTCCTTCTCTCTGTCAGTCACTCCTTTTGCTACACAAGAGCCCTCACTCATACCTGAATTAAAGTCAGATTGAGCAAACACAAATCACCTCTTCATAGCACAGCCCTGGATCCTGTGAAATTTTTTTAAAGACTTTTGCAAGGGACAAATCAACCTGCAAACAGACACCTGAAAAAAAAACAAAAATAAACAAGAAGAAAATAATCTAAACAGTGACCCAAAAAAATGGAAAAAAGACTTGAAGAAACTAGGATCAGGAAGAGACTTAATATTGACTACAGCAGTCTGTGATTTCATTTGTTTTCTCTTGCTTTGTCGATTCCACTTTATGCAAGGTGACAAACTGTGTATTTACATAATAAATATACACATGTAAATAGAATGTTTTAAGGGTCACACACAGACAGTATTAAATTTTTATTACTAAAGTCCTGTTTAACAGCAAGCATGGACACAGATCACCTCTTTCTAATTTGTGTCAATACACAGGCAGCAGCTTGTGTGGAGTGGAGCTGTTTTGTCTTTCATTCTTGTCCCGTGAGGGTCCAACTGTCCTCCTATGTCTGTTACACAGTAGCAATATGGGGAATCCTTTCATATGCATTGATCTAACTTTAAATCTTCCTGCTTAAAATGCCAGACTGATTGGATTGGACTTGCAGATCACATTGCACTATAATCATCTGAACTGGAATAAAATACTAGGTCTAATTAGCAAATGCAGTTATTCAAACTAATACCTCTTCTGCCAAAAGCTAATTCTTTTGGAACTCCACAAGGTGCAAAGGAGCCATATGTGAGTAAGAAATTTGGTGAATTGGACGCAGCTTGCATTGTTGTAGGATTTCTTGTCCCACATTAGAAAGAATGTCCTCAATTGTTCCAATATTGTTGAATGTGCTCTTCACACTAAAACAAGGCTATTGGTAATCTGCTCAGCTGTACTGCGGAGGATTTGGCAGAAAGTTACAGGCAGTCGTCTGTATTCTGTCTGCCAACAAGAAGGACTATTACAGTCCTATTAATATGCCTAAGAGGTTTCATGCAAAGTATTGTGGGAAATGAAGTTCAAATTTGTTTGTTTACACTGAGTGTATGATTGATTTACTTTTAAACAGATGTTTACTGTCATCCAGAATTACAAACATCATTTTCTTGACAAGGATTGCACAGTTTGAAGCCCTCTCTTAAAGACAGAGTCTAGCTTATGTTTTGATTGTTTCTAGAATTGAAATTAGAGAGCTTACTCTCTCCAAAGGCATATCTGGGAACTGAGATTTTTGTGTTTAGTTGCCAAGATGAACTACTTGAGTGTATGTTTTACATGAGCAATCCCACTATGTTGCCAATGGCCGTGTCTGAATCTGAATGAATGCTTGCTATGTAAATCAAAATGTGAATACACAGGGTTCATATTGGCCCTTTTGCTGCTTTTTCAGTCATGGATTTGTATTATTTGTTCATGTTTGTTTTATTTTTATTTCTTTATGTTGTACAGGCTGTTACATAACACTAATATTATCTTCCTGATTTGTAAGAAAATAAAAATACAAAAAAAGAGACAGTTATGCACAATAATATGAAATCTGTCTGGTCTAATGTTGTCCAGTGTTTTTTGAATTTTCTTTCCCCTTCTTTCTTTTTTTCGCATAGATTGTGTTGCTCTTACAGTAAATTATCATTTATTGTCTGTGATCCTAGCAAATTTGCTTTCACTTAGATATTTCTTGTTTATCTGTCTTGCATTGGCAAATAACAAACAAGACCGTTCCATTTTACATTACTTTATTTGGAGTAGGAAAATCCTCTGTTATGACAAGTTATTGCAGTGTTGCATATTAACTTAATCAAACTTCGTTCAAAATATCCTATAATAATTACTGCTTTAAGGCCGATAGTGTTACCGTCTCCGGTTGTTCAAAATCAGTTGTTCACCCATCCAAAGCACGAGCACAAACACACAGCACATTCACACACAGAAGTTTAAAAGTCCACCATGACTCCAACTAGAACTGATGAGGAAAAGAACCCCGTAAGAGCAGTGTCTGTGTGTAAAAGTCAAGTAACAGTAAAATACCAGCCACAGAAGACAGCAAATGGGGACCAGGGACATTCCTCTGCAACGCACACTGACTTTATGGTAGTGATTTTGTATTTCTTTAAAAACGTAGAGGGTCAACAATCTCCCTGCTTTATGATTTTGTGGGATTTACTCTTTAGCCAAGACTTCACTATTATGTTTAGCTCTAAAGACTTAGACTTACTTCAATAATCACAAATGGGAATTGCCTAAAATTTAGAAACTAGCCCTCAAGCTATGAACTCTACACTGGAGGCACCTAGATCTGAAATCATGACTAGGGTATAGTAGAATGTTAAGTGGCTCAAAGCACATGTGCTCACCTTTAGCTCACCCCCATGATTAAGGAGACAACCAGGAAAAGGTTTATGTTGGGGATGGTCTGGGCATACAGAATGCAACACCAGCATGCCTTGCATGAAGAGCTTGCAACATCTGACTGTTTCATTATCTCACAATGTCTTTACAGCTTTGTGCTGTTTGCAGTAGCAGCTTTTGCTTGTTTGCATGGTGAATAAGTTCCCATGGACAATCTGAGGGGATACTGTGGAGGAATCGGAACTACAGTGGACAAACAAAGCAAATGACCAACTGAATTCCTGTTGGTGAATCAGTAGAAAGCATACATACACAAAATATTACCATTTAAATGAGCTAAAAACAGACGTTTAAAAAGGACATACACATAAGCTTTTTGTGGTTCAATGAAAGACCCTTTTCACCCACCCCACCCCTCATTAAAAAGTCATATGTAAGCATTGTGCCAAGTGCTTCAGTAATTGGCAATCACAGAATTAAAGAGGAAGGGCATAAACAAATAAATATATACATACATTAGCAAATAAATAAGATCAATAAATAAAAAGTATAAAAAAGACAACCATCAGGTGATAAATATATGTAACAGGTAATCTCCAAATGAAAATATGTGGAGCGCTACGTTGTTTCTGGTAAAACACATGCATCCTTTCCTTTACAGTAAAGATTGGCAGCTAAAAGCACCTGGTTTGGAGCTGTTGGGATGTGCTCAGCTGGCTCAGACTTCAGTAAAATTCAGTAAAAACCATGGAGAACATTCTAAGAAAAAAAACTCCCACACAGTGAACTATGGGCTCTCTGACTTTTTGGTTTGACTTGCGACTCACACACCCAAAAGCATTCAGAGTTGTTTTGGTAGTACCGATACGTATCACTGGAGTTATCTGGAAGTTTGGAGCTACTCAAAAACATTTTTGAGCTTATAAATGGTGGACAATCTGATAAATATAAAAACTACACATAGAATTTCCCCACTGGACTTCCTTAAAACTGCATTTTGAAAAATAGACCAGTGGACAGTGATCACTGCTCCTTTTGACTTTTCAGATTCCTTTAACAAAGGCCAGAACAAAAGAATGGAAGGGGCACATAAGTGCTGCTTAAGTGAGTTCACACCTGCTCAAACTGCTCCTGGCATCTAAAAAGAAGGGTAAAAAGGGCACAAGATCACTCCTGGGAAGAAGCTACATCACCTGAAGGGACAAAGAAAAGAGAGAAAGTGGAGAAAACTAGTTAGAATGTTTCAAGATACCTCAATATTTATCCACTTTTAATATCTCATTTACATTTATAAGAAAAAGGATGAGAAAGAAATGAGAGACAGAAAGAAATGAGAGACAGATTTCTAGACTGTTCATACTGCTTGTCTATATAGAGACAGATCTCATCTCACTCTTTCAGAATTTCTTGGGGCCCCAAGCAGATGTCTGTTTTGGTGCTACTCCAGATCCAAATGTAGGGAAGTCCTCGGCACTGCTCATGTCAGGGGCCTGAAAGCGCGCACACACACACACACACACACACAGTTACACAATGATGTCAATACCAACTAAATGCAGTAACCACATCATAAATTAGAGCCTGATTACTGCAAGGGCAATAATTTCTTATCCTATTCATAATAATCAATTCACTGTATGAATCTGTGACCACCTTGCTGCCTGCAACATTCCAGGGCGCATCCCGCACGACAAAGCCTTTAGCCGGCCCTCTGCTCTCTTCATCCCCTCCACCCACTCCCACAACCCGAGACGGAGGCTTCATATAGGCAGCCAACGTTTCTGTCTCAGTCACCGTCAACATCTGAATCACACAGACAGACAAAAAAAAAAAAACAGTGCGAATTATGAATAGGCATGGGTGATAATAATTTGCTAATTCTAAAAGCACAGTAAGTATATGTGCGTGTGTGCTACTCACATATTCTTCCTCCAGGTTGAGGAGATGGTCGATGGCTTTATCAACGTTCTCTGGTAGACCAGTAACTGTCACTTTGTCTGGATCTTCTGAGCCTGGCTGGGGAAACCTTATATCAACCTGCAAAAAAGAAATACAGCAATGCATAAACAGGTTTTTCACATTCTTATCATCAGCAATATTGCAAAAGGACTAGGAATGAGAAAAGTTTAGCTGTAGATTAATATTAGTTCACAGTGCAACTTTACACACAACTGGTGCTTACTTTGAACTCTTCCATTAGTTTGCGGATGGCTTTTCCACGTGCTCCGATGATGCGTGCATGGACCCGGTGATCCAGCCGGACATCCTCACTCACCATCTCCTGCAGTGCTGCCACCATTTGCTCTATAGCTGCCTTTGCTTCCTCTACATTCCGCTCATAACCCCAGATTACTATTACATCCTACACTCAGACAAAATATGAGAAAGAAAGAGGATGAGAAATGTGACATTTCTGACACGTCAACAATTACATTATTAATTACATTAATTTACTGTAAAACGAGAGAGGCTGAAAACGACACAAAGCACATACCTGTTGCTCATCGCCCTTATCAGGGAACTGCACATTGACATCATGGTCTTTGCGAATCTGGGAGATGACCGCTCCTTTGCGGCCAATGATTTTGGGGTGATATTTAGGGTCAACCGAGAGGGTCACCTTATAACTCCGCAAGGCCTGCATGTGCATGAAACAGGTTGATACGCTTGATACATGTTTAACTTATGTTGCACTGTGATATAATGTAGTACACTTTTTGTGTCCAGCTGTGAGTGAGGTGTTACATAGTATCGTGGTGTTTCATAATGTGTGCTACTGCATACCAATGCTGTATGTTGCTGTTCTGTGCATGTTTGTGTTATAAAGAGTTGAGTCAGTGCCACTCAAGTTATATAATGTGCGTGCTGTGTACCCGGTCCTCTTGCTCTGCCTGCAGCTCTCTGACTCTGTCCAGCAGGGCTTGCCTGGCTCTCTCCACACTGGCCTCCTGCCCTGTTACCTTTATCACGTCTGACTGCTGCTCCGGCTGAGGAACCCAGATGTTCACCTACACAGCACCAGTCAGGGTTACTACCCTCTTCGGTATTTAGCAATACAAATTATCATATTAGTAAGACTGTAAACTCTCCATGTTGTCACTGTTAGATTATAGCTCGAGCTGGATGACAATCAATTTTCTTCCAAGACCAAAAACAGCATAAAAAACAGGTACAGAGCTACAGTTTGATGACTAAGCAAGCGCTCATTTACTGTCAGACATCATGTCTGTTTCAATAACTTTTCTTGACATAATGTCTCTTTTAAATCAACTTACCTCATAGTCCTCCATCATTTTTCTGATGCCGCTTCCTTTCTGCCCAATGATGTACCGGTGTAAGTCATATGGCACCTCTACATCAACCGTCACCGGAACCAGAGCCTAAAGAGAGACAATAAGTGAAAGAGAGACAGGACCGATAGCTTTATTGCTTCTACGATCAATCTTGTGAAACTTTTATAAGCCAACTTTAATTATCCAAAATTTAAACTTTAAGACAAACATGTTAATGACAAACTGCAGTCAGCGACATACTAGCAAGGCTGCTCGCGCCTGTTCACACTTCTCCACCCGTCCAATCACAGTGATTATGTCACACTTGCGAGGCACAGAGTCTGCCTCTGGGCTGGTGCTACCATTCTCTACAGGACAAGCATCCTGAGCTGTGCACAAAAGACAAGATTGCAGGAGAATTTCATAACCCAAAAAATTTAACAATGCTGTTTTCAAGTGCAAATTGCTTGATATAATAGTGATAAGAAAAGGATTAATGATGAAAGTGTCATACTTGCAGACTCTTCTCTCTCTGGAAATTTGATTTGGACCTCATGCTCTCGGGTGATCTGCTGGATCCTGCAGCCTTTAGGTCCCATCACTGCCCTGTGAAAACGTTGTGGAACCACCACCTCCACACTCACCTGAGACTCCTGAGCAAAACACATAAACAACGCCAGTGGTATATACAAGACTCTTACATAACAGACGGGTGTACAAAAGTCCTGCACAAATTATAAAATATCAATGCAAATAATCTCACAAACACCGCTTCTAATTGCCACTTCTACGTGAGTCAAGAGATTTGTGCTACTGTTATTTCACCAGGGCTGTCATGTGGCTTTCCTGCTGCTCACCAAATCCTGAATGATCTCCTGAATGCGCCTCTTGGCAGCATCCACACACTCTCGGGCTCCTTTGAGAGTGATGCAGTCGCTGTGTGTGCCTGTACGAGGGAAACTAACAGCAACCCCACCATACTCCTCAGCAAGCTCTCTTAGGACCTGCCCTCGCCGACAAACGAAGTGACGATGATGTCGTGGGTCAACAACCATACTGTCCTCAATCACATCCTCCTGAGGGAATTGAGAGCGACAGAGAGACAGAGAAGCAGTGGGTCTGTAAAGATTTGTGACATGTACCAGGCCTGTTAACTTCATTCACGCAGCCTCATCTTAACTTTGAATGCTGTGACAGCTGTGCTGCTATACCAGGTTTTTGATGAGGGTCTCCAGCTCTTTCTGGGCAAGCCTCACCGCTTCCTCTCGACCCACAATTGTGATGCGCTCCTGCTCTGGCTCATCAGGCGAGGGAAAGATGATGCGAGCCCCCGTTCGGTCACGTACACGCCGAATATTCGCTCCTCCTCGGCCTATCAGAAACTTGTGGTACTCGGCTTTGGCCTGAAGCTCTACTGAGAAATTGGTGACTTGCTGTTGGACAAAGGCCAAAGATACATAAATTTCACTTGTACAACTGAGTTTTACTTGACTGGAAGGGTAAAAAAAGATGATCATTGTTGCTTCTTATTCTCCCTGACCACTTTCTTCCTTTCTCTCTCTGCTTCTCCATCTCTGCTTACCTTCTCCTCAGCAAGCTGTAGTAACTGTCTCCTGGCTCTCTCCACCTCTCCTGCAGGGCCTCGGATGGTGACCTTGTCCACCCCTGAGCCTTCAGCAGGAAAGTGAATGTGTACACCTCCACACTCCTCCATCACTGAACGCACAAGACAGCCCTTTGACCCAATCAAAGAGTTATGCAGCTTAGCTGGGATAGTCACCTCTGTTTCCTTGAGGTTTGCCTGAAGGAAGTGAGGAAGCACAAGGTGGACACCAAGAAAAACAGGCAGTGAGGCAGACAAAATATAGAAGACATTTTTAAAATCTGCTACTTATGTTACAGATATGCTAAGTGATATAGTTTTACACATGCTCTCATTCTACTTTTTGGTGGAATTCTCCTTGTAAAAATTCATCCCTCTTGCTCCCTCTTTCCTTCTCTTATTCTCACCAGGTCTCTCTGGATGGCAAGGATCCGGTCCCGTGCAGCCTCACAGTTGCTCTTTTTGCCAGTGATCACAATCATCTCAGAGTCACTGTTCTCCGTGGGGAGATCAATCTTTGTGTTGGTCTCTTCACGAATCTACAAGGAATTACAGACCGGTAGATTCTATCATCTAAAGATAAATTAATGTTAATCCACCATAAGAGGATTACAAAAGTGGATACCAGCTCTGAAAGACACCAGTGAAAGTGTTGCTTCGTATCAAAAGGAGATGGAATTAGTACTAATAACCTCAAATTTTACATCATCAATATTAAAACATTTCCTACGTGGACTGTGGTTCAAAGCGCTTTAACATGACATTCCAAACCCAACAGTAAGGAATCCATTTTTTGTCCTTTTTCTCACCTTTTTGATGTTGGCACCTCCTTTGCCAATAATATTTTTGTGGAACTGCTTAAAGATGGGCACAGATATTGAGTAGCTGCTTTCAATCTGATTGAAGAGACAAAGCAGAACAATAATGGTATCATCTTTCAGCAGCTTACAAATGCAAAGCATTTATAATCCCAAAATAAAGGCAATGCAAAGAGTAAATGATAAGGTACTTAGTGGTTTTGTTATAAATAAACCAAAGCTTATCCAGAAAACTCAATATGTCAACTGAGGCAACACAAAGAAAAGTGAAGAAAATCATACCAGCTCAACCAGAAGTTTCTGTAGAAACTTTGCACATTTCTCCACCTCATTCTTGGGTCCACGGAGCTGCACAATGTCACTCTTCTGAGACTGGTCTGGAAAGTTGATAATGACCTGCACAAATATAACCGAAGCCAAAAGGATCAAAATAAATCACAAACCTTATGTGTAATAGTCATTTCTCATTTTGGGGGGAAATTTCCCCAAAACAATGTAACAAGAGCATGCTCATTGTTATACTTACATGTATCTCAAAGGAATCTTTTAGGAAATCAAGTCCAGGATACAGTTGAAATCAAAAGTTTACATGCACTTTGGCCACATTCTTTTTAACTTAGTTTTTTCACAATTCCTGACATTTAATCTCAGTTTGCATTCCCTCTCCTAGGTCACTTAGGATCACTGCTATATTTTAAGAATGTAAAATGTCAGAATAATATTAGAGACAATGATCTATTTCAGCTTTCATTTCTTTGATCACATTCTCTAGAAGTTTACATACACGTGGTTAGTATTTGGTAGCATTGCCTTTAAATTGCTTTCACGTAGCCTTCCACAAGCTTCTCACAATAAGTTGCTGGAATTTTGTCCCATTCCTCCTGACAGAACTAGTGTAACTAGTCAGGCTTGTAGGTCTCCTGGTTCGCACACATACTTTTTTAGTTCTGCCAATAAATTTTCTATGGGATTGAGGTCAGGGCTTTGTGATGGCCACTCCATTACCTTCACTTTGTTGTCCTTGAGCTATTTTGCCACAACTTTAGAAGTATACTTGGGGTCACAGTCCATTTGAAAGACCCATTTGCGCCAGAGCATTAACTTCCTAGCTGACATATTGAGATGTTGCTTCAATATCTCCACACAATTTTCCTTCCCCATAATGCCATCTGTTTTGTGAAGTGCACCAGTCCCTCCTGCAACAAAGCATCCCCACGACATGATGCTGCCACTCTCATGCTTCATGGATGGTGTTCTTTGGCTCGCAAGCCTCCCCCTTTTTCCACCATACACAACGATGGTCAGTGTAGCCAAAAAGTTCCATTTTTGTTTCATCAGACAGAGGACATTTCTCCATAAAGAAAGGTATTTGTCCCAATGTGCAGCTGCAAATTGTAACTTCGCTTTTTATGGTGGTTTTGGAGCAGTGGCTTCTTCCTTTCTGAGCAGCTTTTCAGGTCATATCTATATAGGACGCATTTTACTGTTTCACTTTTGTACCTGTTTCCTCCACCATCTTCACAAAGTTGTTTGCTGTTGTTCTTGGATTGATCTGTATTTTTCACACCAAAGTAGGTGTCCATCTCTAGGAGACAGAACACATCTCCTTCCTGAACGGTATGATGGCTGCATGATCCCATGGTGTTTAAATTTCCATATTATCACCTTCAGGCGTTTGGAAATTGCTCCCAAGGATGTACGAGACTTGTGGAGGTCAACAATTCTTTTCTGATGTCAGCTCGGTGTATGTAAATTTCTGACCCATTGGAATTTTGATTTAGTGAATTATAAGTGAAATAATCTGGTTTTAAACAGATGTTGAAAAACTGTTTGTGTCATGTGCAAAGTAGATCCTAAACAACTTGTTAAAACTATATAGTTTGTTGACATGGAATCTGTGGAGGGGATAAATAAGAGTTTTGATAACTTCAACCTAAGTGTATGTAAACTTATTACTTAAACGATAGTTCCTAACAGTTACCATGATTCAGCAAATACCTTGTAAAGAATTCCAAAACTACAAGGGGACATAACATAGGCTAATAGACAAGATCATTATATGTACCTCTGGGAACTTGTCTCGCACTTCTTTGATCTTCTCACCCTTTTGGCCGATGATGGTACGATGAAACTTCTGCTCTATGATCAGGTCTTTGGTGCGCTCGTTTTCCTGAGTAAGTAAAAGGCTTACAGCACGCTTACAACATAAACACTGAATTCTAAAGTCAAAACACCTGTGCATCTAGAGAGTAAGAAAGGCAGTCATTGACAGATATTTTCTTGTCCTTAATGCATCTGACTTAACTTATCTACCACACTGTTCAACTCCTTTACTGCACAGTGATGTGACCCTCCAGGACTGGAGTTTGAAGCCTGAAAGTAGGGCTGAAAGATTAATTGTTTGTTTTTTTATCGCAATCTGTGCAATTTTCAAATCACAAGAACAAAATTATAGCCTACATTATCAAAAACATTGTCTTAAGTTTTAAGAGGGGAACTTTAACCTAATAACACAGAGTTGTATACTGCCTGTAGAGTTAGACTACTCATAGGCAAACCAACCCTCCATGTGTTGTGACATCACAACCACAACTTACTGGCTTTCTGGCACACTACATTACAGGGTCAAGCCTCAAGCCAGAAAAAGAGGATACTCTGGTCTTCTTGGTAAGAAAGACAGGTCTGAACCTCAATTTATAGAAAATAATCACAATTTAAATCACAGTCACGATATTAGTCAGAAAAATCACAATTAGAAATTTCCCCAAATCGTTCAGCCCTAACCTCAAGCTATTCTATTAGGCTAACTTCAGCTCTTGACCTCTCTCAGTGCCTCACCATGCGCTGGGCCATGTCCACCAGCTCCCTGCGTGCCAGCTGCACTCCCTGAGGGTCTCCCTCAATACGAACCAGGCCGCACCTGTCTGAGTCCTGAGGAATCCGGACTGACACTTTGTACTGCTCCTTGATGCGGTTTACTGTCAGATGCAGAACACAATGTTACTTCATTATTATTGTTTGGCATTCCAATAAGGAATACGCTGATTAATATGCTTGACAGATTAGCACAAGTACATATTTAAATCACACTTGTTCATGAACAACTGTGTGTACCATCTATCAGAATCTGCATTCCATTTTAAGAAGATACTCACTATTAGCACCATTCTTGCCAATGAGGTGCCTGTGAAAACGCTGGTCAATATTAATCTCAGTGTAGTCCATCCTCGCCATCTGAGCAAAATTAAATACATTGTCAAGACACTTAACTGCATTTCTGTTAACCAAAATAAAAAATATATAAAATTCTCTTATATTTTTTGTGATAACCTGTACTGTTTTGATGATCAGTAGGCATATGCTTCAGTCACAGCTCTGGTCTGTCATACAACTATACACAGTTTTTATCTGACTACATTATTTCTTGTATTTACAAATGTAATGAAGTACTATTGAAAACACATTTCTTCTCTTACCAGGTCTTTAATAATCTCCTGTATTTGGGCCTGAGCTTGTTCCACCTCCTCTGTTGGGCCTTCCAGACTGATCCGCTCCTCTCCATCCGTAAACTCTATGTGTACCTTTCCAGATAAAACATTCATTAAGAATGATTTACTTCTAAAATCAATAAGAATAATCCACTTCTACACCTGTCTTACTATAACAGTGCACATACTAAAAATATAATTAATATTTTTGGACATTTAACTGAAAAATTAATTCATGACAATAATCTGAAGTGTTTAACCTTTTAAACATTACCACATAAATCACGTTACACAAGAAAGCAAATGTAATGCTGGCCAAGTCGCTGTGATGTGACAAATGATAGAGAAAGAAGGGAGATGAATAATCACAATAATGTGTTGGACTGTTCGGCCCTACCTTGGGGAGCTGCTGTGTGATGCGACTGATGTTTTGTCCTTTTTTGCCAATGATGAATCGATGAAGCCATGCTGGCGCAGTCACTTCCACCACCATTACACTCTTAGCCTGTAGAGCACACAACCACAAAACTCTTTTAAATCACATTGATTTGTTTGCTTGATTACCAAATAACACCTTGTTTTCAACAGAAACAAAACCATTCTCTTATGTATTTTGAAACATACATGACACAACACAACCGTTTCACACTCCTTACCATCTCTGATCCTTCTTACCTTAGCATAAACTTGGGTTAGGGCCGGGCCCAGTTTGTCCGGCTCCCCTCTGAGGATGATGGTCTCAGAGCCAGAATCCAGCGGCGGCATCTCCACGGACACTCCAGTGCTCTCCATGATCTCCTGTAATGTGTTGCCTTTTGGCCCCACTATGTACTTGTGCTGTGACTTCTTCACCTCTACTGAGATAGTGGTTGTTTTTCGCTTCTAGATAACAGAAAGATGGATATGACACACTGGGGCTGTGTGTTTGAGCATCTAAGCATTCGAATTTGAGTGATCAGTGTTATCAATTTTTCCTCAATATGATCTGGTTTCCTCTGGAGTGACAATGCATTTGACTAGCCAAAACCTCACCTTCTCCTCATAGATGGCACGGATGCGGGCAATCGCCATGGCAACTGCCTCCTTCTCCCCAGTGATGACAATCTCTTCCTTCAGCAGGCTGGGGGGTGGGATGCTGATGCGAGCGCCCGTCTCTTGGCTTAGCTCCTGGACAAGCCGGTTGTATGCACCAGCAATGAATGGGTGAAAGGCTTTCTCCAGAGACAGACGCTCCACTGCACGCTTGTCCTGAAGAAGAGAGTTAAATGGAAGATTAGTTTAGTGGAACAGTGAACAGCTCTCACTGTAAAGCATTAACAAGTGTCTCATTCTCTGCTCTCCTGCCTAAAACTAGCTCTCAATAGCTAGATGTGAAACATGGAGAACAACCTGTTCTGCAGAGATGAGAAGGATCTCATGCCTGGCTTTCTCAATGCCCTCTTTGGTGCCTGTAATGCGTATGTTGGCGCTGGGGTCATCAGGACGGGGAATAGCGATCTTGGTGGCTGTTTTCAGTTCCAACTCTTGCAGCTTCTCCCCGTTCTTCCCAATCACAAAGCGATGATGTTCCTTCGGAATGACGACAGTGGCCGAGGCCTACAAGCAGGAGTGCAGCCACTGAGTCACTCAAACAAAATTCTGTTAAGGGTAAGTCTGCGCTGTAAGAAAGACAGAAGGCAAACAAATCATCACCTGGGTTTGGAGTCGGGCCACAATTTCTTTCCGTGCTTTCATGACTGAATCTAGTTTTCCAGTCACCATGATGGAAAGGCCTTGGTCTTTAGCCAGAGAGAGTTCAATGTGAGCTCCAGTCTTCTGCATGATGTCTAAGCACACCTTAGCCTCCTCACCTTCTCCAAACTGACTGTTGTCCTTATACCGTCGCTCCTCCAGTGGAACATGGAAAACCTATTGGTATATAGGTAGACAAAGAGAAAAAAGGGGTAAGAGAATGGTCACAGTGGGAAAGTAACAAAGGGGGGAAAGGCCAAAAAACGTCTCCACAAGTGATCAGTTTAACATGATAGAGTGATGTCATATTCAACATTCAAAGATCAGATTAGATTTTTATGTGCTATTCGAACAATGCTGGAGGAAATTCTTGCTGGTCCAATTTTGCTAAAAAAGTGACGTTAACACACAATATAAATACAGAACATAAAGACACAAATAGCCACCACACAAGGCAAGAAGAAGAATGCAGTGAGTTAAATACCTGCGTGATGACCGAGGCTTTGATGGGTCGAATTTTGCTCCAAGCACCTGCTGGCTCTCCTGATCTCTCCCCTGGAGCGCCTTTGTCTGGCAAAGGAGGAAAAGCCTCCAGGTAGGTGGGAATGTATGCTTCATCCTCAGGAACACCACCTGACCACAGCAGGAAAGAAGACAGACTGAAACAGCATGGACAAAGACAGACATGTTGCCATATTCCGCTCTGTTATAAAAAAAGTATTTCTAAATCATATTACATTCTTTATATTGATTGGAGCAGGAAACAAGAACATTAACCTATGAACTGTGATGTTTACAGCTTTCAAAGTAGATAAAACGTGCTGTGCCAATAGCAACTTCATCATCATTTCTAAAAGACCTTGTGAAAGGTGAGTGATATAAAACTATTGAGAAACTCACCCAAGTAACCTGTATTAAAATCATGATTACTGGAGTCAGTACCTGTGATCTCAGTGTCCTTCAGCCCACTACGGTGCTCAGCAAAACTCTCCTGAGTCAATACAGCCACTGAGCTCATATTACAAGAGTTGATCCGCTTTCCCGCTGAGAGAAAAAGACACAGGAGACAGTATCTAAACTCCAATGCCCATTTTTAATGCATGGTTTTGAGTCACACAACCCCTACAGAAATCCCCCCCCACATAGTGGGCCTAATTCTTCACTTAGTTGTTTGCATGATTTGTATGTGTTTGTGTTAAGTGGCAATGCTGTGCAATTAGATTTGTGTTGCTCTGTTCTATATTCTCTATGGTCTCAGCAGGGCCCCCATACACACAAACAACTCCCTGAGACCTACCACTGCTCTGAGCCCCTCAACACTCCAGTTGAACACCAAACACACACCCAGAATACTAAGAGCAAAAATCCTCTGTGGAAAATTACAGCTATCACATGCACATAGAAATAGGCACATTTCAGAAGATATTATGCTTTTCTTTGCCGAACCAAACTTACCCATACCCTAATCACTGTGAAATGAAAGGAAATACAAACAACATCACTACCTGAAAAGGACAAAAAACTACATGGAGATGCTTTCGTTTTTCTCATCAGCAAACTAAAGGGTACAGTGGGTGGATTTAGTTGTGATTCCATTTAGCCAAAATGTTTACATTTTTAATAAGCTAGTGATTTTGATTAATGTCTGTAGTTGTCTCTGCAACTAGAAATTACAATGCACTGCAATAAACAGTATTTTAATGTACACTGCATTTTAAAATAGATAAGACTTTTTTAGTCTTTTATGTAAAAGTATACATTTGTTTTCAGCACCATGTTTCTTTCAAGAGACACCTTCATAAATACAGAAAAGGGCTAGAACATCACTGCAGTTCAAACACATATCTAAAGCTTATAACATGTAACGTTGACTCAAAGTATAAGATCATTCACCCACCTGCAAAGGGTCGAAAACCAGAGGGTCCGTCCTGAAGGGGGCTACTGTAAGCTCTTCAGTGTTAGTCTGTGTTTTCAGTTCTGCGAGAACATAAGCAACACATAGATATAAACCAACAGAACACTGACAGCTTTACCTTAACATGGATGTCGTGCCAAACGTGTGAGAGAAGCCCTTAACACACACTGTGCAAAAAACATTCTCTAATAGCATAGCTCCCCCAGGCAGGCCAGAAAGAAGGTGGAGACACAGCCGTCTGTCCTACGGGAGGTAATACACAGAAGTTGTGCTATGGATAGCTTGAACACTCTGGGGACAAAGTGTCTAATTGCTGCGTGTGTGTGTGTGCAGGTGTGTCACTCTGCAGTAGTAGTGAATGACACCTTTGGCGGGTGCAAAAAAACAGCAGCAGGAGAAAAACTGCCTTTTGCTGATGTTTTGATCAAAGCCACAGCCAATGCACTTTCTGACAAAAATAAATAATGCAAAACACGATTGATCACCACGCAAAGAACAAAATCTGCAGAAACCAATTTATTATTCTGTCAGTCCCCAGTTGCATATTACTGCTGTTACACACCTAAGAGCCTGATAATGGTCTTGTTCAGGAGAAAACGCTACACTCTGCAGTGTCAGAAGATTGGGACTAAGACACTGTACGTCCAAAAGTTTGCAGACACCTGCTCATCTATTGTTTCTTCTATAATCAAGGGTATAAATAGCAAGTTTGTTTCCACTTTGCTGTAGCAACAGCTTTAATTCTTCTAGGAAGGCTTTATGGTTCTTCAGATATACTGAAACATTGCTGTGAGAATTTGACTGCATTCAGCCATGAGAGCATTAGTGAGATTAGGCACGGATGTTGGATGACTAGGTCTGGATCACTCCAACTCATCCCAAAGATATTGGATGCTGAACCATTAATCCAGAAGGTGCAGTTCCACTGCTCCACAGCCTAATATTTGGTCATGAGGGAATAAGAATAGACAAAAAGCAAACATTTCTTCATTTCTTTGTAACTGAATGGCTAGAGCTGTTTTCAGCTACACTCTAACAAAACATGGGTTCTTCTAGGGTTCTTTAGTAAAGTTCTATGTAACAACCATTTCTTGCTTAAATGGTTCTCCTGACAGATGGAAAATGTATTGTATATAGTTCTACATAGAACGTTTTTGACAATGGTCCTATAAAGCACCAAAAGGGTTCCTCTATTGTTACAGACTCGACATTGTAACAACAGCAGAACTCTTTTTTGTTCTATATAGAACCATATACAACACATTCCCCATCAATCTGAAGATGCAATTAAGCATGAAATCGTTCCATATAGAACCATTATCTTTAGTAAAGAACCCTCGAAGAACCATCTACTTTAAGACTGTAGATAGGCAACCTAGTGCACAACAGCAAATTTCAACACCAAAATGTTAACGTCGCTCTCCCCACAATCACCTATCCCCTAATTTCAGCCTTTTCTGCATATTCTGTATTTTCCCTCTCTCTCTCTCTTCAGCAATCACTGTGAAGAAAATTGGAAACTTTATTCTTGCAAAAAATCACATCTGAAAACAATATTTAGGTTGGTACGTTAACGTTAGATAGATAACAATCAGACGACGACATTTCCTCTCTTGCAAACAGACATTAACGTTAACCAAAAACACCTAAAACACAACGTGCTGTAGGTGCTGTCAAGCTAAAATCATTGGACGAGGCTAAGGGTGGCATCTTATTCGCCAGCTTCTTGTTCTAATTGTCCCGTTCCACCTTAAATGGTGCAGCAGTTACAGTGTGGCTCCTCAGCTGCACGATTTAAGGCGGAACGGGAAAATTCGAACAAGAAGCTGACTTCTGCTTCGTAAACATCGGCCGCACAGTTAGCAAGTAAAACACAGGAGCGATTCTCGATGGTTGGGATTATTGTGCTGCCTTATAAATATGGTTTTCTAGCTACCTCAAAAACAACACGGCTGTTAAATCTGTCAGCTTGTGAAGTATCAAACTGCATTTCTCATCACAGCTTGATTAGCTAAGCGCGCTAGCGTGTAAATAGCTAGCTAACTTAGCTTGCTATGTAGCTACGTTAGCTAGCTAAGATACATCGTTAGAGAAGAACAGTTCTTTCCTTTATTAAATATGTCACCGCTCGGGTTAATGAGACTATTGGCAGAGTTTAATGCCACGATATGAATAAGGTAGAAAAGTGTGGCCAACCTTATCAGACGAAAAATAAACAGCGAAACGCTTGGCTTTGGGTGACAGCTGACAGTGTAAGCACACTGATGCTGATCCGCTCGAACGAGTCGACTCACTAAGCCATGAATCATTTGAATCAGGAATCAAAGCAGGAACCAAGAATCGACTCTTATCTCAAAATGTATTATGCTTTGTTGAAATTGCACGCCACATGTGCGTTGTTACAGTTTTTTTGCGTCATATTTGCATGAGTAATGTTTCATATTTGGCTACTGGGGCCAATACAATTGGCAGAAATTTAACTTTAGGTTTAATTAATGTAATTAATTAAGGATGTAATTAATCTTTCGTCCCTTTTCTATCTTCTGCGTGATTAGCCTAGGTTACTTTTCACCGGTTCATTTCAGTGTTTCTCTGGGCCCAGTGCTCTGGTCCACCCACTCTGACAGCAAGTCATATATGAAGAAAACACTTTTGGATAGAAAGGCATTAAAGAGAAAGGAGCCAGAAACTACACCGCTAAATAACCAAATTGTTTCAGTTGAACTTAAACAGCAGATAAAAATAAAGAAAACAATTTTATCCAACAACGTAATTAAGGTTATTCTTTCTGAAATGAGAACAGGTTAATATGACCATAGACAGGGACACAAACAACTTTGACCATGAACCCAACGTTTGCTGGCATCAGAAATTTGAACGAATAAGAATGATCAGTATTAGTAAAACAATGACTTAACAAGATTAAATTCACAATTCTGAATTTAAAAAAAAAAATGTGAAGTATGAATTATATCGTATTATATGTATGGTTTCACTCACAGTAGTAAGAATTCATGGCAGTTTTTTTTCTTTCTTTCTTTTTTCCCACCGCTTCATAGTATTATATGAAATGAATTCAAATGAATTTAAATGAAAATTAATTGTGAAAGCTGCCTTGACTTCTGATTAGCTTTAAGTCAAATTTTGTGTACTAATATAGAAATCCTACTACAGTTGAATCTCGCCATTTTCATTTCAGTAATATTTTTTTATTTGCTCATATCTGTAAACGTCAGATTAAAAGCCCAAACCTCTCGCCTTATTATTCGGTGCAACAAGCGAACAGGCAACAGGGGGCGTTTTCGCAACAAGCTGCCGGCGCGACAAAGGGGGGAAAAGGGGAGGATGGAGAAGAAAGAGGGAGGGAGAGAGGGTGGAGAAGGGAGAGAGGGAGGAGAGTGGAGGGGAGCTAGGGAGGGGTAATTCAAATCCGGGCAGTAAACTGCCCAGCTTGCTTCCCTCGCCGGTTGTTCGCCAGCAGCAGGCCCCCACGATCTGGGAAACAAAGAGCCGAGGATGTGCAGAGGATAAACAACAAAAGGTCCGAGTGGTCAGGAGAGCCAGCAGACCATGAGGGAGGCGAGATCTGGACCTCGATGTGATGCGCTGTCTACCTGTTAAAGAAACACACTTCCATTTGAGCTCTGCCGGCTGTCTGGAAATGTATTTGTTTCCTGACCACTGATAGGGTTTGACTTAAGCTGATAGGGACTTTATAGGTGTGATCTGCCGGACTGTGCTGAAATGGGATTTCTTCTGTCAGTGGAGTTGCTAACGTGGGTTAAATGAGCAGCAAAGGAAGCCTTGGGTGAGTAGCCTCTGTATTACCCTTGTTTCTAGAGCTTCACATTGCAATCATTTGACAAGCAGGAGGGGCTCTTCAGTATTCCTGCGTGTAGTGGTCAGTGGAGAACTGAAAATCTAATTGTAGTCACTGTATTTTGTAGGCTATTTTGTGAGCTTTTAAATCATGCTTCATTAAACAATAACTTTGAGGAGGTCTTAAAAGACCAGTGAATAGGGTATGGCAGTTTTTTAAAATAGTCCCATCAAATTGTCTTAAAACACATACACACCCAGAGAGAGAGAGAGAGTAGCAGCTTGATGGAATCTGTCCATTACGTTCACTGTCGCCCATAACCAGTGACTCTATCAGTACACAATACATCAGTGTTTATGGAGTGGATAACATGGTAGACACACTGGAAGATTGTCCTACTAACCCACCTCTGCTGACACTTTGTCACTGACCGGAAAAAAACAAAAAAGCCTAACCCTCCAATAGATATTGAAAGATAAAGGGCACTGTCTGAGAGGGATGTGCTTAGGGGTGCATTCAAGATGTTGTATAGAAACCCATGGGTAACAATAACCCAAACATGGGTGACTGATTTTATATATTACCTTTCGGTCAGCCTGGTGCAGTTAAAGAGGTTAGTCCTGTTCAGGATCACAATATGATTCAGCATTTGGGAAATTATCCCACGTTAACAAACTTAATCTCCTCTAGTTTGGATTGCCAAATCCCTTAAAGCTCTATTGCATATGCCCCAGCAAGTTAGCAGTAATGACCCTTTTATGTCCGTGTCCCTGATGGGATTTGGAACCTGAGAAGCGAAGGCAAAGTTCACAACAGGAAGAGCAAGAAGGATGTTCCAAAGCAGTGAGTTTGTTTGTGAAAGAATAGACAGGGAGTGGTTGTGAATGACTTCTCAGAATACCACAGCTAGAGAAAAGTAGCTCAGTAAGTCGTGGCATCAGGACTCTATTTGTGCAGCAGGGGAGAAGTGCACAGGTGCACCAGCATAGCTTTGCTGAGGTATGTGTTGAAAAATGAGGAAAAAGGTTGCAATTCCTTTTTCAGGAATTACACCTTGCATGAGAGGCTATTTTCTTTACTCGGTTAAAGTTACATGCAGGACGTTTTGACAAAGTGCAGTGCTGCGTACAAGAACTCGTTCGACTTGCTGAGTCTGTTTGAGAAATGAGTCAAACAGACAAGGAGCAATTCCAAAGTTCAGAGCTGTTGACATAGGAAGCCGAAGGCGAAACACCCTTTCCCCTCTAAAATCCCCAGAGGACTGGTAGGCTAACTTAAGAAATCTGAGCCTTTCTGCAGCCAGGCTGACAATGCTGTTCGTAATATTCTGCAGGATCACATCAAATGTAGGGAATTTTGTTTAACAGGTAGGCTTTAACAAGATCTGTAGTGCACCTGACTCTTAAGGGTGAAGTTCAAGTCCAATAGGACATGTAGTGTACTTCCTGAAGCTTTCCAGAAAGTTCTCTGATATGCAGTTTATGATGTTGATCACATAGGTCATGAACACATGATTTGCCTACAATGTTAACTCATTCACATAGGTTTGATGGTTTACTCTTTTGGTTTTAACCCTAAAGAGTAAGAGTATTAGCAAAAAAAGCATGATGGTGGTAGAATGATCATATGGGACAATTAGGAATACACTGCAAAAATTATAGGGCGGCACGGTGGCGCAGTGGGTAGCGCTGTTGCCTCACAGCAAGAAGGGCCTGGGTTCGATTCCCGGCCGGGTGACCAGGGTCGTTTCTGTGTGGAGTTTGCATGTTCTCCCCGTGTCTGCGTGGGTTTCCTCCGGGTACTCCAGTTTCCTCCCACAGTCCAAAAACATGCAGTCAGGCTGATTGGACATGCTAAATTGCCCCTAGGTGTGAGTGTGTGTGTGGATGTATATGTCTGTTTGTCTGCCCTGCGATGGACTGGCGACCTGTCCAGGGCGTATCCTGCCTTCCGCCCGATGACAGCTGGGATAGGCTCCAGCACCCCACCGTGGCCCAGAAGGATAAGCGGTTTAGATGATGGATGGATGGATGGATGCAAAAATTATATTTCGGCAGAGTAAAGCATCTTAACTGTAGGCAATATATCTTAATATTTCTTGTAAATAATTGTTAAGATACTTTATTGTCATTGCACAGAGTACAGTGAAATTGGGCAGCAATCCTAATGGTGCATTAACAAACAACATTAAACTAGGAATAAAAGAAAATATAAGCAAGTATAAAATGCAAGATATTTAAAGGAAAAGACTATACAATTTAAAGTTATAAAAAAGTAAACTGAAAATGGGTCAATATAAATGTAGCAGCTGTGAAATTGCAAATGAGGGTATTGCACATTTGTGGATGGTAGTAATTCTATTTACAAATAGTGCAGTTTAATAAATAAATATAAAAGTGCCAATGAATCTAAACATCTTTTAACATTCCTTGAGTGTATTTTGGATAGGTGTGGATAGAAGGTCAGTTCCTATGTTGTTAGTGCCTGAATGTCAGTGTACAATGTCAGTGTTCAGTTCTCTTGTTGCAGTGGGTTACAAGCTGCTCTTAAGTCTGTTTGGCTGTGAAGTCTGCCTGAGGGTAACGGGTCAAACAAATGATGTCCAGGATGGGATCGGTCTTTCAATATGTTAGCTACTCTGCTTAGGCAGCGGGACCCGAGGGAAATCTTCTGGGCTGTGTTGATGACTCTATATAATATAGATGATATATTATTCAACCAATTTATAGACATTTTAATGCATATAAACTCATCTTACTGAGTGATAATATCCTACTGCATTTCTTGAAAGAGGCAACATTATCTGTCAGTCCGGTGAGATAATATCACTTCACAGAATTACTCAAAATAAATAAGTACAACAGTGTCTAGAAATAGATTGAATCTTATAATATTCTTACACCAATCTCATAATGCAAAATATTGATATTGTCACTGTCAGACAAAAACCCTGTATTTTTAAACTGATAACTTTATAGTAGAAGAAAAAAACATTATTAACTTTCAAATTTTTTTCAAACTTCAAGATTTTATTCCAGTTTTGGAACATATCTATTGGTTAATTCATCATGAAATTTTCACACAATGTAAAGGTTGCTAGCATTTTAAAGTTTTATAAAAAAAAAAACTGAAAAATAACAAAAAATGGAGATACAGGTTTTTGTTTCAGCAGCAACAAAATATGACCAACATTTAAAGTCCACCTGAAATCACAATTTACGTTTTTTACATTGTTAGTTCATGTGCTTGGTCATGTTAAGCACAATTCATTGTGTCATGTGTTTCATTGGCAGAATTCTTGTTTTCCTGTAATCTTTAACTAAAGTGTAGTGAATTTTGCGCACCACGAAAATGTCTTCTGAGTTTTGATAACATAAAGTACACCAGCAGACAAAGAAAAATAATTAATGTTAACCAATAATATCATGTTTCATCTCCCCCTACCACCTCACCCACCTATCGTCATGTGAAAGTG